AACCAAAATATGACTTCGTTCCAGTGGCTGAAGCGATGGACCTGCTCCAATTTTTTTGCGGAAAACAATTTGATCCAGTAGAAGGAATAAACCTTTAAACCTTTAAAGTTTCCAAAATATTGCTTTCGTAGGTTTTTTTTCACTTTTCGTCCATTTCCATGGCAACAGTAGGAATTTAGAAAAATTTGAATGTTGACTGCACACTTAGAGATTCAAATTATAATTTCTGTAAAGTTTCATCAAGATTGTCCAAGTGACCTCTGAGAACATATGTGAGCATAATACCTTTTTTCTGTTTTGTTTCTATGGTAACTGTGTGTGGCCAACTCCAGGTTTTTTTTAAAAATAGAAATCACTTTGACACAATGCAAGGAATCATCCATTAAAGTTTCAAAGTGATTGCTTGAGCAGTTACTGAGAAAATCGAATTTAAGAATTTTCACTTTTTCTCTGTTTCCATGGCAACAATTGATAATTTGAAAATTTTAAATGCGAATTGCACAACTACAGTTACTGATCATCATTTCCATAAAGTTTCATGATGAATGTTCAAGGGACCAGAGAGAACACTCCCGGACAATATTCATCACTTCTCGTACGTTTCCATGGCAACGGTAGCCATGTTGAAACTGAAAATTTTTTCCACATATATACAGATGGTCATCATCTTTTATGGAAAGTTCCAACAACAATGTCCCAGCCATCTGCGAGAAATTCCCCGGACAACATTTTCATGTGTACAATAGCAATATGTCGCCCGACTTCGTTCGGGGCGACATAATAATAAAAAGAATCATTTTATTAATATGATCGGTGGCAATTTAATCTAATATGTTCACTAGAATTCTTAATACACAGTAATACATGTACTGATACCGTATGTGATTTCAGGTGATAATACGATAATGAGATGATATGTTTTCTCTTAATTTCAACATTAAAACGAAAGTTACAATATTTTTTTTAGAAATCAGTTGGAACCAATGAGCAGCAGCTTTTGAGTGGGATAGTTCAGAAAATGCTAAAGTTTTTATTAAAAATTAAAGAAAATAACATTTCTAAGAAGCTGCAGTGCTGGCATACTATCATCTAATTTTTCCCTTATTTTTATACAATTCAGATTATGCTTTAAATTTGGATATTTTACTAGAGAAAGACACCAAATGAATGGCAAACTAACAACTAAACTTTATATTAAATGTGATGACTTCAACTTCTTTATCATCAGCTTCTCTTATGTAGCAATGATTATAATATTATCACTTGCATATAAGGTGTATGTCTCCCAGTTGATTCGATGCACAAGAGCATGATTTCCATACAAATAATTACATGTAACTAGATACTTATTGCCTAGGCAATAACAGGTCTTCCGTTTTCTTGACTTCTTCGAAAAAAAAAAAAAAAAACACGATCTTGTCAATGGGATTACTCTAAATAATTAACAAAAGTTATCTCAAGGCTTCCAAAGATATGTAAATAGAAAGAAAAACAAACGGAATTACTTTCCTGTTTTCTTTATGTACTTCATCATGAACGAAATTACTCCAAACGAATAAAATGTTCATTCTACACCTAAATTATTCACAACTGATCCTCCCTAAAAATTTCCATGAAAAACATGTCATGTTTGAGACAACTTCCGGTTTTTCGTTTGGCACTTCCGGTGAAAATAAATTGCATAGTTATAATCTAACATCTGCATTAGCCTAACATTTCTGTAAAAAGAAGAAAAACTTGAAAAATTCACTTTTTTTCATCGCTTCCTGTCACGACCGGAAGTGACGGAAACGTACGATTTTTACATGATGTAGATAAACTGAAGACTGACTATCAGTTCTGAAAGTTTTAGACTTCAGCAATGTACTGTTTCTAAACAATTTGGTGAATAAAATCTCAATTTGAGGACAGAAAAACACGCAACCGGAAGTGCATTCTCCTAAGATGGTTAACGTCACACTAGACAATTGCAGTCTCAATAACATATATAAAAATCATTTCAAAAACTTTATCTATAAGCGATATTTTTGGGAAAGCTAAAAATCCCAATTACATAGTTTTTTTTTTCTTATAACCGGATGTAATCGTTTTTTGTTTCCAGTGAGACCAACACATATAGAAACTGTGAAAGAGATTCAATTATTTGATGCAAGTTTTATTTCAAAAGAGAAAAGTTGAAATTTTTGATTTCTTTGATCACTTCCTGTGACGACCGGAAGTGACGGCTGACGCTATAAACCCAAATGGTTATGCCTACTCCTTAAGTTCTATTACTCATATAAGTTTGGTGTCTAAATCTCTTACCGTTTCTGAGATCTCACTTGCACAAATTCTTATTTTGCGGACAGTAAAACACGCGACCGGAAGTGAATTTTACCAAGATATTTGACGTTACTCTAGACATCTGCAGTCTAAGTAACATATTAAAAAACCATTTCAAATACTTAATCTATAAGCGAAATTTATGGGAAAGTAAAATACTCAAATTATGTAGTTTTTCGCTTATAACCGGAAGTTGACGTTTTTGTTTCCGGTGGGATCAACATATTTCGAAACTGCGAAACAGATGCAATAATGTCATGCAAGATTTAATCGAAAAAAGAAAAGTTGAAATTTTCGATTTCTTTGATCACTTCCTGTGACGACCGGAAGTAACGGCTGACGGATTTAAACATGTTCCACAAACCTACTTGTCATGATCTATAATCCCTGAAAGTTTGGTGTCTTTATTTTTTACCGTTTCTGAGAAAACGTCCGGACATGAACTCTTTTGAAAAAACGGAAATCGGACATATCTGACGAACGGAAGTGAATTTTGCAAAATCCTTAAAAATGTTTTTAGTTTATTTAATTTGTCATAATCCCTGAAAGTTTCAAGAAAATCCATTGGGCCATCTCTGAGAAATCGCTTGGACAAAAAACGGGAAAAAAATAATAATAATAATAATAATAAACAGTACAATCACTATAAGGTCTTCCGACTGAAACGGAAGACCTTAATAACAACATGATACTAGGTGAAAATAGGTGCCATGTTACTCATTAAAAAAAACTTGCAAAAATATATATTGAAAAATCCCAGAAAACAATCAACATATTTACCAAACATTTCTTGATATGTCACCATTTGGACATTTGGAACTTCCCTTAGTGTTCATACTACCTGCATAGATTGGAACTACTTGCCCCTTGTTAATTTGTTAATTTTGCAAATCCACAGGATGAATACTTTCAATAAACCAGGCTTGATGTCAGAACAATATCAATTAACAACAGAACATTCTGACCAATGGAATGTGATGTTACTCGTCTGTACAATATACTAAATTCAGAGAATCACCTTCATCATGATAATGTAAAAGCCTTATATGCTTGGTGAACTAGCATACCCAACAATGTGTCATAGCTTAATTATAGTCACAGTGAAGTGCTAATGGTGTCGGTTGGTTACGTTCCGATTCCGTGTTCGACCCGCGTGGTTACGACCCAAGTGGTTTCAACCTACTCTAATATATTCCTACATGTCAATATCTGAGTACAGGGGTATACACTGTGAGGTAAACAAATGGATATTCGGTAGCTGTATATTGTATGGCTTCAGAGATGTGCGTGTCAATAGGTAGTTGTTTCCGTATGTGTAGTCAACATGCAGTGAGAAGGTTTCCTAGCATTTTTTTCTACTATCGCGGAGCATGGATGTTGATAAATTTGATTTAGTAATGAATTATATTTGAACAGTTTTCCATAAAAATTAATCAAATACTTCATCAAATGTACCGTGATCACATATGCACTGTCTAAACAATGTACGATAATTAACACAAATATACGTGGTCGATATTAAAAAAAATGTAGACGAAAAAATAAAAAGTAAAACTGTTGAAAGTGTTAATTAATTTCGTTCCGAAGCAATTAATTGTTAATTAATTGCTTCGGAACGAAACCACTCGGGTCGAACATGGATTCGTGTCGAAACCACGCGGGTCGAACAAGAATTCAGAACGTAACCACCCGCATTCAGTGCTAATAAACGGTGTCGGGTGGTTACGTTCCGATTCCGTGTTCGACCCGCGTGGTTACGACCCGAGTGGTTTCGACCTAACTCTAATATATATCACTACATGTGAATACCTGAGTACAGGGGTATACACTGTGCGGTAAACAATGGATATTCGGTAGCTGTATATTGTATGGCTTCAGAGGTGTGCGTGTCATTAGGTAGTTGTTTCCGTATGTGTAGTCAACATGCAGTGAGAAGGCTTCCTAACATTTTTTTTTCAACTATCGCGGATGTTGATGAATTTGATTTAGTAATGAATTATATTTGAACAGTTTTTCATAAAAATTAATCAAATATTTCTTCAAATGTACCGTGATCACATATGCACTATCTAAACATTAATGTAGGTTTCTCCAAATTAAATTACATACGATAATTAACACAAATATACGTGGTCGATATAAAAAAAATGTAGACGAAAAAATAAAATGTAAAACTGTTGAAAGTGTTTATTAATTTCGTTCCGAAGCAATTAATTGTTAATTAATTGCTTCGGAACGAAACCACTCGGGTCGAACATGGATTCGTGTCGAAACCACGCGGGTCGAACAAGTAATGGGAACGTAACCACCCGCATTCCTAATAAACAATCACCGAGTTCTAAATTTTGTAAATTATATCCGTTGTTCGCCTTGTGACATCAAGATTCATGAATTACGTCTTAAATTATTATTATTAATAATTATTTTTGCATATATTTGTTTCCATTCTAATACCATGAAAAAGACAACATGGTTAATCAGCTGATTGGAGCTATGCCTAAGGTAAATTAAGTTTCAGCGGTAAGAAATTCTGCTTTCTAAAACCAGCGAGTAAATATATTGTTCACATAAAATGAGTGAAATGCACAATTGAATAGGCTGACAATTCGTCAAATATAGTTCAAATAAACATTCTGAAAATAATCTAAGTTTAACAAACACTGATCTGATTCACCCACCCAATCGATCCACCATTTTTCAGCTCTTGGAATGTTGAACCCGTCAATATATTATCTTCAAAATACTGTCATCATTATTTAATGAAAAATATATACAGGCGTAACATTATATTAAGTCAATAATCAAATAAAAATATGGAGTGTATTAAGGTTTGTCGTGATAAGACATAATAATTACACGTCTCATAAATGAAATAATAAGGATCGGGTTCGTAATGTTAAACTTTTCAGAAAATCATGTGACAGAAGGTCAAGGCCTAACGTCATCTGGTCATAGAGTCAAAGGAATCTGGTGGTACAAAGCAAGATGAAGTGTCCAATTTGTGGCCCAAAGTTGTCGATATGTTGCTCTCTTTTGAGTATCTGGGGAATAGTTATGTTGGTAAGGGTGTATATTATTTCCTAAAGTCGGAATTCATGAGCCAAAAATATCACTTGAATTTTCTAATTTGGCAACACACATTAACTGATTAAGAGCGTTTGTGGGAAGTAAGGAACATGAACTCCATTTATTAATTTTGTTATCTTTATTGCCTGCAGTTGTATAACATTCACATCATTAACTTTGATGATGTTATTATTTGCTTCCTTTTTAGTAACATATACCAGCTTGAAAGGGTTTCCTGTTTTTTTAATGAATGTTTCATAGTGGTAAAACAATCAGTTCCCAGCATTAACTTTTCGGTGTGCTTACACCATTGTGTCACAAACATGGCATTTCAATAAGTTTGAGTGGTTAGCTCAAATTATAAAATCATGTAATGTAAAGAAAAGAATTTGAGAGCTCAAGTGAAGCATGTGTATCATCAGGTGCTAGTCACTGCGCCCCAAAACCAGAACGCCCCATGCATGAACGCCCCAAACATTTTTACCGGCGCCCAAGTACAAATATGAGCGCCCCAAATTTAAATCACGAGCGCCCCAAACTTATTTCACGAGCGCCCCAAATAAGCATTTCGAGCGCCCCAAGGCTTATTAACTAGTAAAGAAATAAATTATTGGCTTTTTTACATTTCGATGTTATAAAAAAAATATTGATATGAACAATTCATGAGCGCCCCAAATTATATATATCGTGCGTGCACCAAATTTTACGTATAACGAACGCACCAAGATTTGTAAACTAGCATTATGAAGTTATAAAACGTACTCAAATTCTTTCCGTTTTTTTTAAGTACATGTGCATATACCATGACCGAAATACATTTTGAATGAAACACAGCAGAGTGAATTTTATTATACTGAATTTTAAAATCTTAATTTAATAATTGCTAGTAAGTAGGTTCGTCTCAAAGATCTACTACACTGTACGAATAGAATAGAATAGACTTGAACACTGATGTATATTTCTGCAGTATAACTATAATTTATGACCAGAAAATTTCTAAGATTGTCATACATTTATACGTTCAGAAATATTCATTTTCGAAAGATGTAGTCTTACAGCTTTATGGCTGTGTATATGTATTAATAAACTGGTTTTTCCCTCAATTTGATTCGTATCAGTAAGCCCATCAGTAATGTTAACAAATACGTATACATGCCCTTCACTGTCTTTTTTTTTTTTTGTCTTCGTCGCATCTCTCTTGCTATCATCACTTATAAGCTGCAGATCTGTAGCTATATCATCACTAGTTTGAACATATGTGCTTGTATAGTATTTTAATGGTTTGAACACAAGTTCTAACAACTTACGAGGTTATCACCAGACACTGCTACAACTGTCTGATAAAAACTTTGATACAAAGTTTTACATATTTCTTTACTTTAATTTTGCTGATGAAAGAAATTCGGAATTCATATAATTACAAAATATAAAAGTATTTCAGATACATTGTTGACCAGTCAGGTCAAATTTGGAACTTATCTCCTGTAAATCGGTAATCTTTTCAAAGTACCAATTGTTTGAGAAAAAATTATGCACATGTATTGAACCCATCTATCCATATAAAGAAAGTTATTTATTATAAATCTGTTAAATTTTTACCAATTTTAATGATGGGGTTCAAAATCTCAGTATATCTATCTCGTACTTTGTATAATGCACGTGCCGCGTGACATCAATGATTAATTGTCGTGTACCTGATTATGTAATACATTATATTACACACCTTCCACTAGATCAAGAACTTAATCCTAGTAGGATTAGCAGACTGTGTATACACAGTAAACATAATTTCAGACATTCATATCATTTTAGACCAATTCAACAAAGATACACGGTAATTCTGGTCTTTCGGCGACATTTTTTAACACTTTACTACCTTTCCATGTGAATTACATCAATCATATCTACACAGATGAATCATAAATGTAATTCAAAATGAATACATTTAAAGCAATAAACAAAAAAATATGAATGAAAATTTGTACACAAATATTAAGCACCCCGCTTTCCATAAATAAAAAAAATATTGTAAACAGTACATCATACTAGACATCATGACGCAAATTTGGGCAAGCAACTCTTACAATTTATAAGACTTTAAAATGTTTTATTTTTCCAAATTTTTACGTTTTATTTCCAAATTAATTCAAATTTCTTGATATATTAATTATAATAATAATTTAAAAAATTCAATAGAAAAAAAAAAAATAGGTTATTACTGTAGGATATCTAATATCAAATACATTTAATTTAACAAAAAATTATATAGAACCAACAGGGAACTTCTTTAATATACATGTATAAATTAAGATTTTGTCACGATATACTTGAAAACATAAGTTAATTACATGTATATACTTAATTAGAACCGCGATACAAAATGTGAAAACGTGCTAAATAGTACTTCATAAATTTCGGAACCATATATAGGTTCGTACTGGAACAAGGTTTTAACAATAAAATAACAAAGCAACACATATTGAACGTTGTTGAATTATTTATAAAAATGGACTTACCACTTTCTTGCAATGAAGAAACTTCATCTCTCAAACGATCCGAAAGAAATGAACAGTCAGTCGACAATTTTTTTTTGATCACAATGTGGTAAAAAATAATTATGAGATTATAATTGAGCGGGCTCCTTTATGTGGGATAAAGGCGGTGCTCAGACTTTGAATCTATCGTTTTTAATTACACAAATAATTAAAAAGTTAATAATTTAAAAGAATATTACACAAGAGTTCTTTGAAGAAGGAAAGTCAAACAAAATAATACTGTGTACAGTTGTATGCAACTAAACATAAGTCAATTTCAACATAGATTCAAATGAAATATTAAAATATATATATATATAACCGATGAAGTACTTATGTATAAAATTATCACATAATGAGCACCTGTGTACCTGTGTTAGATCGGACGATATTATTTGGGGCGCTCGAAATGCTAATTTGGGGCGCTCGTGAAATAAGTTTGGGGCGCTCGTGATTTAAATTTGGGGCGCTCATATTTGTACTTGGGCGCCGGTAAAAATGTTTGGGGCGCTCATGCATGGGGCGTTCTGGTTTTGGGGCGAAATGACAGTAACCCGTATCATCTATCTCTATTCCTTTTTTAAAAGTAGATGAGTCAGCTCAACTTCCATTGATTCAACTTATCAAAAGAGAAGACTCCATCTCTACACATGTACATTTGATACACAGAACATTTTCGTGTTTGACCCCATAACGCCTGATTGTCAGCTCTAGACTGACAAATATTTGAAAGGATCAATAAATTTAAAATCTAGTCTGTTCATTGAGCCAGTAAAAAAAAATAAAGTTCAGTTTACAAAACAAAGAAGTTACCAATAATAGCCCAGGTAAAAAGTAATTTATCTAAAATAGGATGATAAAACAATTGTATGTAAATGTCTATGACTGTCATGCCAGTCATTTTCATTATTCAGCCATTTCCATAAGATATAAGACGGATAAATCTTACTACATCGCTGTCATTGGGACTTACATGTAATGTAACGTGTAAACAAATATGAACACTACTACAAATTTTCTCTTACGGTGCATACTGTATAAAAGATATCTCAAGAAGGAAGGGGTGGCCTGTGGACCAAAGGGGTGCCATTGCAGTGGTTTAACCAGTGTAGTGAGGGCTTTTCCAGAGATGCAGATTATTCTAACTAATAATTTAAATGAATCAAATGAAAAAATAAAATAAAATGGCTATATAAAGGGTGTCCCAGAATATATAGTACCATTTCAAGATTCTGTAAAACCTAATGTAATGAATCTTGGATTACAACAAATGCATTATAACCATTGCATATACTGTCCAATTTTATTCACATGATTTGACAGTCATTAAAAAGAAAACAACAAAATGAGTTCACTTTGAAAAATGCTATGGTTTTTAAATGATGCCCTCTAAATGACATTTTATCTGTGTAATGATAATGTCTCTAGCTCTTTTGATAATCCATTTTGATTGAAATTGCAGTTTTTTTGCAAAAGTTTGATGTAAATTTGCTACATTGTAATTTCATAAGTATGAGAATTTTTTTTTTGGAATATTTTGTTGCTAAAAATTGTACTTATTCAAATATTTTTAGAGACAAATATCAAAGAAATTGGCCAAGGGATGTGTTTGTGGCAGTTTTTTCAAATAGTATTATATATTTTGGGACACCCTGTACATGTATATAGTGTTTCTAAAATAAACTAAATCCATAAGACGGTTTAGAGCATTTTAATTTACCTAGTAGTGATTCTGTTTCTGTCAGTATCTCATTTCACTTAGGGGGTACCTATTACCGAAAAGTCTTTGTGTAAAATATTTTGAAAATATGATATTCTTTTTCTGTCACTTACTCATAAATGTTAGGTAATAAAAAGTATACCTTTATTTGCTAATTTCCTTGCAGCTAGCACATGCAAGAACACTCTGATCTTGTGTAAAATGCTAAAAAAAACTATTGATTTTAAGACGGCATCAATTTCAGAAAAAATGCATTTAAAAAGGAAGCAAAATGCTTTAAAAAATTTTAAATCAATGTTTATTAATACATGCATCAGTATAGACCTATACCTTTAAAATTATATTAAATTTACTGGAATTTATACAGCATAAAATACGTACAATTACCAGTATCACTCCATTTCCCTTCCATTATTATTATTTTTTTTTTCTTTGCAATTTTGTCATGTATTTTATGTACAGAGAACATGGAGAATATTGAAGAAAGTCTTATTATGTGAAACTTTTGTAATTAATATGTTTTGAAGAAATAACCTGTCTTATTATTTTGAAAAAGAAAAATAGTAAACCCTTATACATAAACAAGTGAGAAATATTTGGTTTCAATTTGTTTTCTGAAAAAAAAAAGACCTTTCTGCAGTAAGACTACAGTACTGTAAGTTAACATTGATGAACACATAATTGTACAAAATATTAAGAAAATATACGGTACTCCTATGTTAAACTTTGATCATCCATTGTGGCCCCACCCTACCCCCAGGGGTTCATGATTTGAACAAACTTGATTCTACACCACCTGAGGATGCTTTCACGTAAATATGACCAATCATGGCTTTGCAGTTCTTGAGAAGAAGAATTTTAAAGATTTTTTCTATATACTCCTATGTTAAACTTTGATCGTCCATTGTGGCCCCACCCTACCCCTGGGGGTCATGATTTGAACAAATTTGATTCTACACCACCTGAGGATGCTGCCATATAAAGATGACCAATTAATGCTTTGCTGTTCTTGAGAAGATTTTAAAAGATTTTTCCTATATATTCCTATGTCAAACTTTGATCGTCCACTGTAGCCCCACCCCACCCCCGAGGGTCATGATTTGAACAAATTTGAATCTACAGTATCTGACAATGATTCTACATGAGTTTCATCTTTCCTGGCCCATTGGTTCTTGAGAAGAAGATTTTTCAATGATGCCATTAATTTTTCACTATTTCGTAATTATCTCCCCTTGGAGGAGGGCGTGACCCTTCATTTGAACAAATTTGAATCCCCTTCACCCAAGGATACTCTGTGCCAAGTTTGGTTGAAATTGGCCCAGAAGTTCTAGAGAAGAAGATGAAAATGTGAAAAGTTTACAACAACAAACACGACAGACAACGGACAAACTTCGAGATATCGAAGTTCAACTGTATATGTGTGTGAGAACACCTACCAAAATGCCAACTGTCAATGAAAATGTAATTTAAGGATTTTTTTAAAAATGATTTGCAAACGTATTTACATTTTATAAATTCTTATTTATTTCAGGCATTGTTAGGAGTTTTCTACAGAATCCATAGTGTGGCTTTATTTGAGGATCTTCCAATAACATCAGAAGACTGGAAGAAAGATAACTACACATTGTCTGTGATTCATGATAAATATAACCAGACAGCTTACAATTGTTTTGTAGCCGCTGGGATTTACGTTCTCTGCTTCTTCTTCTCTTGTTGTCAACAGAGGATGGGATCAAAAGCCAACTACGAGATGTCGTAACAGATTTATTATGGGGACTCTCTCGGCAAACAATCCTAGTCTACTGTATTATGTAGCAACAGTAATCAGTCTGTATTTCTAGTGGGTTTACATTATATATAGGTTAATTCAAAACTCTAACGCACTGTGTACTGTTACTTGAAATATTGAACAAAAAGCAAAATCATCATCAAGGTCATCTTGTCATGTGAATCAGGGTCACAGGGGTCAAAGTTGAAGTGTCATTCCAGCTACTGTACACACCATTCCATTGTTTCATGCCATGACCTCATTCTAGTATACAAAATGTACTCTTTTGACAAGTATTCATTGATAACATAAGCCACTGATTTTCATGAAATAATTGTTCCAAAATAAATGTCCCAAATACATGTTCAAATTTTCTATGGTAAGAGTTGTAATAATATAGTCTGTACATATTGATGTAGTAATCAAGATGTTAAACAGTTTGTAAATATATATCTTATAGAATAATTGTGTGGTAATTTATTTCCTATGTTGACATGTTACAAAATTAATGACTTCTATTGTGATTTAATTGATGATAAATTAGTGTAAGTGGTGTTAAAAAATGACATATAATAAAGAAATTAATTGGAGATAGTACTGTTTATTTTTATATACAACCAAACCTAGTTATCTCAAACTCAATGGGACTGAGAAAAAATTGAAGATAATAAAGATATTTAGGTTAATTAAGACAAAAATGAAAACATATCCATGGTATTTGAGTTACTGATGTTAGAAATGCCAAAGTTTGTTGTTTATAGGTGATCTGCAGACTTGTAATAAATCAGCTATGAACAATTACTGATCATCTAAATCTGGAGTATTTTGTAAAGTAGTGTTCAAGTCTGCCATGATAGAAAATAATGGCAAAATATTTCATTATGGACTAAATAATATAACTGATGGCAGGGTAAAGCAGTTTTGTACTTATCATCTCTATCAGAATTATGGAAATCAATATTTCTAAAGGAGGATTTTATTGAAAAATAAACATGTCAAAAGGACATAGACATCATGTCCAAGGTAGAAAGTTACAATACATAAAAGTGCCAACAACAAAATAAATCGGAAAATAAGCTAAAATTAATTTAGTGACAAACATTTGCTTGCTGAAATTCATGATCTGGTCTGTAATGATATTTTTCACTGAATGCTTGAGATTCTCTCCCTTCTCCACCTTAGAAATGTCCTCAGTTTTTTTCATAATCTCATACTCATTCCTGACAGGAACTTTGATTAGAGTACTCTCCCCTGTTGTACAGTAGGCACTAAACCAGTACAAAATGGGTGAGGCTGAGAACAGCAGTCTTGTCAGCACCTAGTCCAGAAAGAATAATGCATACATTTTAAGTTACTGGTAAATATATATTAAAAATATTTCTTTGGAAAATAATGTCAAACACAAGTGTTAAAAATTACCAAAATTGCATTTTATTTACATTTTATATAAATGAACTTAGTGACTAACATATTGTATTAAGAGTCGAGTCTCAAGATTTAAGATTTCATTGATTGGTATATAAGTTCAATATTTACTTGTATTGACATGCCACTAACCAAAAAATGATAAAAAAAAAATAATGTACTTAAGAGTTGGGCATTCCTTTCTCAACTTTCTCTTCTGACACAAAAAATATAATTAATTTGGAAATGCATGTCAAAATAAGTAAATCCTATCACAACAATTAGGCATTGGTACAACACCTTATATTTTTGTAATACCTGAATGTGAACAAACATCCATCCAAATACTGTCAACACCAGGATATGGCATACATATGGAAGAATTCTGGGATTGTTCCAAACACATCTGCCTCCTTCATCATTTTTTTTAAAATCAAATATTTCTGACTTAACTCCAAGAGTCTGGCATGTCTTTTTGTTCCACTTGTAATATGACAACACACAACCAATGCTAAGCAAAGTCACTGGGATGGCTAGTAAGAAATTTGGAATTTGTTTAAATTCATAATATTTCATAAACCCTACCCCCCAGTGAGAACTTTGTACATAGCCATAAGATAATGGGATGGAAGAGTTACACCATGGAGGTATATTGTCTCCTATTATATGATAGTCTCTCTCTCGTCCATACACAATCAAATAATCAGGAATATCTGACAACTTACTGATATCAGATTTACAAAACATAGCACTGATGTAATATATTTGATATAAAAAAAATGGCACCAAGAACAAAAATATGAGAGTGAACAAATATATCAACTGGACAATAGCAATGTTTAAATAAGAGAAAACTCTGAAAGACAATGTTATATTTCTGCTATCCTCTTCAGAAACACCTGATATGAAAGTTCTTAGATTTTTTACCAAGAAAATCAAACTCTCATAAAGTATAAATCCAAAATTGATCAAGCCATTAGATCTAGCCAGTGTGCCTAAAGCAAACCAGAAGACACTCAATATCTTACAACTGTTTTCAAAATTTAGAAGTCCATATATCGCTAAGAAAAAGTACAGAATTTCAGAATATGAAGCTATCATGAATATGCTGGCTGGGTTTATACAAAACAAGAGACAAGCTTTGTATGCTATATAAGTGTTTCCTAAAACATTACAACCAAGTCTAAATAACAACTTCACTGTAAGTATAAACAGAAACACATTGCAAAATACTGCTGAAATCATTAATACATTTTTGTATATCAATAAAAACTGCAAAGGATAAAACAGGGTGTTTGCAGTGAATCTGACCAAAAAAGGAAACAAAGGGAAAAATGCTAAACTGTTTTGATAAATATAGCCATGCTCTGCTACGTGCATGAAATAAACTGCATCCCAGCGATTGAGTCCACTTAAAGCTGTTTCAACAAATTTGTCCAGAACTCCACTTAAAACAACAGAGTTTGTTGGAGGATTGAAAACACTTGCATCATGGTCAGGAAAAAAAGCATTTAACACAATCTGAAATTAAAAGGGTATGTTCAATATAAAATTTTATTTCATCTCTGTATATCTACCTTTAGATTTTTTTTCTATTACAGACAAAAATGCACACTATGCAGGGGCTGACAAATAGATTTTTTAGGCACTTGTCCAAGGGCAAGTGCATGATCAAAATTCACTTGCCCTACCTGAATATTTGCTTGTCCCACCATGCATACATTATTATCATATTTATATATATATTTTTTTAAAAAATGGAATACAAATACTGAGTAGATCATGCTAACCCCTGTACAAAGCTTAAGATCTATGACTTGCATATGGATTTTATTTTATCAAGTCACTTGCCCACGGGCAAGTGGTTGATTAACTTCCACTTGCCCACCTTTAAAATTCACTAGCCCCGGGCGTCGGGCAATGGGATTTGTCAGCCCCTGCACTATGCCAATATTCAAGAACAATTCCATTATGTGGAAATAAATTAATGTAAGGATATGCTGATAACAGTACTATTACCCAGGTCTGGCACAATCTCTTGATTTAGCTACATAGCTTGATATAGCTATATAGCTCTATTAAACTATACAAAATAGCTTGATAAGGCTATATATATTTTTTCACCAAATGCAGGCCCTTACAAAGCAGGGGGGGGGGGGGACTTTTTTCTGAGTGTAGTTTTTGCTAAAAGTAAATTTTCCTTTAGATGCTGGTCCCCCCCCCCCCCACTTTTTGATGTTGTAAGGTGGAGCACGGGCAAATTCCTGGATTTGGAAGTAAATAAGCTTTTTTTTTTTTTGGTTCTGATAATTGTACTTTAGTATATGTTTTAGTAATCTGAAAACACACTGTATTTTTCATTTTGTTTGTAACATGGTTGTATGCCAACATGTTTGGTGAATCAATAAATTGAATTGAATTGATAATTTTGGGAAGTTGCCCCCCCCCCCCCTTCTTTTATTAAGTGTAGGTTTTTTTTTTGATTCGGATTTTTTTTTTTTGGAAGTTGCCCCCCCCCCCCCTTTTTGAAACTGTTGTTACGGGCCTGAAGTGTTTTTTGTAAGAAATAGACAAAAAGTCACAAGTATTTTACTATTCATGTACATACTATGGGCTATCAAAAAAGCAACCCAAATTGAAGATAGTTTTAACATTGCAGCTTTTGAATACTTTTAAGCAAAAGATGAATTTCCATTGTTTGAGTAACTGAGTATTCAAGGTTGAATATTAATTATCACTGCACCAAAGTGCGACTTTTTTAACATGCTGAAAAAATAACACATTTAGGAAGAAAGTATGATCTAATAGCTAAATAGAGGTATTCTGAATACCATATTAAAGCTATATAGCTAAATCATGCTATATGGCTAAATCAAGAGATTGCCGGACCTGTTAACCCACTAAAATACTAATAACTATTTGATAAATTTACTTTTTTCACCTAAAATCTGAACATGATCCCTCAGCTACGGCTACATTGTGTTGAGGGATTGTGCTGAGACACAGTTAGATTATTCTAACGAATCAGTTTTTCGAAAATATTTCCCTTTAGATATCACATCAACTTTTATAACTTGATTTGCAGCTGGGTTCCCAGTAATGGTTCTTAATTTCTTGCCGTTTAATATGGATCAGGCATTTCCCTTTCCATAAATGGCGAATTATGAAAAACATTCGAAAAAAAGCTAAATATATGAGAATACCTGTAGTATAAGTAAAATACAACGAGTCTGAATTGCAAATGTTGTAATTTTTCTTTCCAATCTATCAAGGACAGCCATGTTGGCTGGTGAGCCGAATTCAATTTACAAAATGAGAAGTGATTGGATCTGGTTAATACAAGCTTTCCCATTGGACAATTTTTAATCTGCGTTAAAACTACGCTTTAATGGCTGTTTCATTTAATCGAGGAAACAAACATTGGTGTGAATCAAGTTGAAAAGTGAGAAAAATGAAAAGAGCAAGAGGTTTGTAAAACTTTGCAATGTAACTTTAATATGTCATATTATCCCTCTGTTCATGGCATGCATCAGTGATTAAATTGCTTTTTGTTAAAGTTTTGCAGCTGTTATACTTAGACATGCACTTCAAACATTTATTACATCTACTTATGGATATTATCAGGTCCAGTTCAATCTCTTGAATTTGCTATATAACTTTTTTAAGCTATTCAGTCTTGATTGAGCTATTTTATCTCATCTTTTCCCTAAAATGTGTTATTTTATTAGCATGTACAATAAGTCGCTCCAAGGTACAGTAATAGTGTTCAACCTTGAACTGTTCTGAAAACATTGCTCCTCAAATTGTGTCTTCTTGAGAGACTTTGTACTCAAAATTTTAAAAGCTTTGGAGCTATATAAAGCAGTTGATTTGTGACCACACAGTTTCTTCTTGAATGAAATTATAAAGAAAGTCAATTATTGTCAACGAGATAATTGATAGGTAATAATTCAGCACAATGTGAAGCGGTCATACTTATCCATGCCTCAATGAACACAAGGTGGTGTACATTTATCCAAACAATGGAAATACATTTTTTGCTTAAAAGTAGTCAAAACCTGCAATAATATGTTGACGGTGCAACCGTTAGAGTGAGCGCAGATACCTTTTCAGTTTTAATTTAGATCAATGACAGGCTCTTCAAACCGCACGTGATATTTGGTATGTCTAGACTCTGACATCACATGATGTCATATGTAATGTTGTATTATCGAAACAAAGTCTGAACAGTGCTAATTTTAATAAAGAATGTTAAAATCTACTATTTATCTGCTATATATCCATTAAATCAAGGTGAGTTTATTTCTTTTTGGAACTTCTGGGTATCGCTAGAACGTAGTTTGTGGCGAGATGCAATTTGCAAACCATTATGGGACCACAGGTAACTGCGGAAAAAATCATTTGAATCAATGTGCAATGTTCGAATTTTCTCTTCGCCCAGGCATAGCCTTAAGAGCTCGCAGTGACGAGCAGCACTTCGTGCCGCTCGCTGCACTCTCTATAAAAATTATGTTTGATTTGGGTTGCTTTTTAGCTCACCTGAGCTGAAAGCTCAAGTGAGCTTTTCTGATCACATTTTGTCCGTAGTCCGTCTGTCCGTCCGTCTGTAAACTTTTCACATTTTCGACTTCTTCTCCAGAACCACTGGGCCATTTTCAACCAAACTTGCCACAAAGCATTCTTGGAAGAAGGGGGTTCAAGTTTGTTCAAATGAAGGGCCATGCCCTCTTCCAAGGGGAGATAATTAAGAATAAGTGAAAATTTGGTGTCTTTTTTTAAAAATCTTCTTCTCAAGAACCATTGGGCCAGAGAAGTTGAAACTTATGGGAAACCTTCATTACATAGTGTAGATTTAAGTTTGTTCAAATCATGACCCCCGGGGGTCGGGTGGGGCCACAATGGGCGATCAAAGTTTTACATAGGAATATATAGGAAAAATCTTTAAAAATCTTCTTCTCAAGAACAACAAAGCCACAATTAGTCATATTGATATGAAATCATCCTCAGGTAGTGTAGATTTAAATTTGTTCAAATCAAGACCCCCGGGGGTAGGGTGGGGCCACATTGGGGGATCAAAGTTTTACATAGGAATATATAGGAAAATTCTTTAAAAATCTTCTTCTCAAGAACAACAAAGCCACAATTAGTCATATTGATATGAAATCATCCTCAGGTAATGTAGATTCAAGTTTGTTCAAATCATGACCCCCGGGGGTAGGGTGGGGCCACAATGGGGGATCAAAGTTTTACATAGGAATACATAGGAAAATTCTTTAAAAATCTTCTTCTCAAGAACAGCAAAGCCATGATTTGTCATATTGATATGAAATCATCCTCAGGTAGTGTAGATTTAAGTTTGTTCAAATCATGACCCCCGGGGGTAGGGTGGGGCCACAATGGGGGATCAAAGTTTTACATAGGAATAAATAGGAAAATTCTTTAAAAACCTTCTTCTCAAGAACAACAAAGCCACAATTAGTCATATTGATATGAAATCATCCTCAGGTAATGTAGATTCAAGTTTGTTCAAATCATGACCCCCGGGGGTAGGGTGGGGCCACAATGGGGGATCAAAGTTTTACATAGGAATACATAGGAAAATTCTTTAAAAATCTTCTTCTCAAGAACAACAAAGCCATGATTTGTCATATTGATATGAAATCATCCTCAGGTAGTGTAGATTTAAGTTTGTTCAAATCATGACCCCCAGGGGTAGGGTGGGGCCATAATGGGGGATCAAAGTTTTACATAGGAATACATAGGAAAATTCTTTAAAAATCTTCTTCTCAAGAACAACAAAGCCACAATTAGTCATATTGATATGAAATCATCCTCAGGTAGTGTAGATTTAAGTTTGTTCAAATCATGACCCCCGGGGGTAGGGAGGGGCCACAATGGGGGATCAAAGTTTTACATAGGAATATATATAGGAAAATTCTTTAAAAATCTTCTTCTCAAGAACAACAAAGCCACAATTAGTCATATTGATATGAAATCATCCTCAGGTAGTGTAGATTTAAATTTGTTCAAATCATGACCCCCGGGGGTAGGGTGTGGCCACAATGGGGGATCAAAGTTTTACATAGGAATATATAGGAAAATTCTTTAAAAATCTTTTTCTCAAGAACAACAAAGCCACAATTAGTCATTTTGATATGGAATCATCCTCAGGTAATGTAGATTCAAGTTTGTTCAAATCATGACCCCCGGGGGTAGGGTGGGGCCACAATGGGGGATCAAAGTTTTACATAGGAATACATAGGAAAATTCTTTAAAAATCTTCTTCTCAAGAACAGCAAAGCCATGATTTGTCATATTGATATGAAATCATCCTCAGGTAATGTAGATTCAAGTTTGTTCAAATCATGACCCCCGGGGGTAGGGTGGGTCCACAATGGGGGATCAAAGTTTTACATAGGAATACATAGGAAAATTCTTTAAAATCTTCTTCTCAAGAACAGCAAAGCCATGATTTGTCATATTGATATGAAATCATCCTCAGGTAGTGTAGATTAAAGTTTGTTCAAATCATGACCCCCGGGGGTAGGGTGGGGCCATAATGGGGGATCAAAGTTTTACATAGGAATACATAGGAAAATTCTTTAAAAATCTTCTTCTCAAGAACAACAAAGCCACAATTAGTCATATTGATATGAAATCATCCTCAGGTAGTGTAGATTTAAGTTTGTTCAAATCATGACCCCCGGGGGTAGGGTGTGGCCACAATAGGGGATCAAAGTTTTACATAGGAATATATAGGAAAATTCTTTAAAAATCTTTTTCTCAAGAACAACAAAGCCACAATTAGTCATTTCGATATGAAATCATCCTCAGGTAATGTAGATTCAAGTTTGTTCAAATCATGACCCCCGGGGGTAGGGTGGGGCCACAATAGGAGATCAAAGTTTTACATAGGAATATATAGGAAAATTCTTTAAAAATCTTTTTCTCAAGAACAACAAAGCCACAATTAGTCATATTGATATGGAATCATCCTCAGGTAATGTAGATTCAAGTTTGTTCAAATCATGACCCCCGGGGGTAGGGTGGAGCCACAATGGGGGATCAAAGTTTTACATAGGAATATATAGGAAAATTCTTTAAAAATTTTCTTCTCAAGAACAACAAAGCCACAATTAGTCATATTGATATGGAAACATCCTTAGGTAGTGTAGATTCAAATTTGTCGAAATCAAGACCCCCGGGGGTAGGGTGGGTCCACAATGGGGGATCAAAGTTTTACATAGGAATAAATAGGAAAAATCTTTTAAAATCTTTTCAAGAACAGGAAAGCCGTGGTTAGTCATTTTGATATTGAAGCATCCCCAAGTATTGTAGATTCAAGTTTGTTCAAGGCATCCTCCAGTAGTAGGGTGGGGCCATAATCGGGGATCAAAGTTTAACAAAAGAATATATATAAGAAATATCTTAAAAAATCTTCTTCTCAAGAACAACAAAGCCATAATTAGTCATATTGATATGGAAGCATCCTTAGGTAGTGTATATTCAAGTTTGTTCAAATCTTGAACCCCCCCTCCCTTCCTTCCCCCCAGGGTAGGATGGCAGACATCTTTAAAATTCCGTTTCAAGAACAGCAAAACCATGATTAGTTATATGAATATAGAAGCATCCTCAGAAAGTTTAGATTCAATTTCATTCAAAACATGGCAAATGGGGATAGCTTATGCCTAGAACAGTTGGTCAAAGCTTTACGTATGAATATATAGAAGAAGAAATCTGCTGACAAAGAACAGCAGGGCCATATTGACTCAGGTGAGCGTTGTGGCCCATGGGCCTCTTGTTTAGCTCACCTGAGCCGAAGGCTCAAGTGAGCTTTTCTGATCACATTTTGTCCGTCGTCCGTCCGTCCGTCTGTCCGTCTAGCTGTCCGTCTGTCTGTCTGTCTGTCTGTCTGTCTGTCTGTCTGTCTGTCCGTCCGTCTGTAAACTTTTCACATTTTTGACTTCTTCTCAAGAACCACTGGGCCAATTTTGACCAAACTTGGTACAAAGCATCCTTGGGTGAAGGGGAATTTAAATTGTAAAAATGAAGGGCCAAGTCCCCTCACAAGGGGAGATAATCAAGAGAAGACAAAAATAGGGTGGGGTCATTAAAAAATCTTCTTCTCAAGAACCACAGGGCCAGTAAAGCTGAAACTTATATGGAAGCATCCTGGGGTAGTGTAGATTCTAAATTGTTCAAATCATGACCCCCGGGGGTAGGGCGGGGCCATAATAGGGAATCCAAGTTTTACATAGAAATATATAGGAAAAATCTTTAAAAATCTTCTCCTCAAGAACAACTGGGCCTGAAAAGCTGAAACTTATGTGGAAGCATGCTGGGGTAGTGTAGATTCTAAATTGTTCAAATCATGACCCCCGGGGGTAGGGCGGGGCCACAATAGAAAATCCAAGTTTTACATTGAAATATATAGGAAAAATCTTTAAAAATCTTCTTCTCAAGAACAACTGGACCTGAAAAGCTGAAACTTATGTGGAAGCATGCTGGGGTAGTGTAGATTCTAAATTGTTCAAATCATGACCCCCGGGGGTAGGGCGGGGCCACAATAGAAAATCCAAGTTTTACATTGAAATATATAGGAAAAATCTTTAAAAATCTTCTTCTCAAGAACAACTGGACCTGAAAAGCTGAAACTTATGTGGAAGCATGCTGGGGTAGTGTAGATTCTAAATTGTTCAAATCATGACCCCCGGGGGTAGGGCGGGGCCATAATAGGGAATCCAAGTTTTACATTGAAATATATAGGAAAAATCTTTGAAAATCTTCTTCTCAAGAACCACTGGGCCAGAAAAGCTGAAACTTATGTGGAAGCATGCTGGGGTAGTGTAGATTCTAAATTGTTCAAATCATGACCCCCGGGGGTAGGGCGGGGCCACAATAGGGAATCCAAGTTTTACATTGAAATATATAGGAAAAATCTTCTTCTCAAGAACCACTGGGCCAGATAAGCTGAAACTTACTTGGAAGCATGCTGGGGTAGTGTAGATTCCAATTGTTCAAATTATGACCTCTGGGGATAGGGCGGGGCCACAATAAGTACTGTGGGGGGGGGGGGGGGAGAAATCGGGTGAAAAACAGCAAGGCCAAAGTTACTCAGGTGAGCGCTGTGGCCCATGGGCCTCTTGTTGATAGGCCATAGTACATACACTTGCGACTTTTTATCTATTTCTTACAATTGAAAAAAGAAACATTTTTGTGAAAAACTGCATATAAAATAGCTTTATCAAGCTATTTTGAATAGATTAATAAAGCTATAAAGCTATTTCAAGCTATTTAGCTATATCAAAAGATTGTACTGGACATGTCTATATAATTTAATATAAAACCATAGTAAAATTGTGCATAAAAATATGATATTATTTGGAAGAATCGTGATATTTCGCAATACAAAATTTTTGGTTATACCCATCCCTTAACTTATTCATTATAAGATTAATTTCTTTTTTATCACAAAAAGTATGCTAAAGTCCTTAGAGATTAGTTTTTAAATGATAATAAGCATTTAACATGTGCAAAATATATTTTTAAAATTTGATCTTTCTTTTATACTAAATATTAAAAAGATAAATAAGTCATTTACATGTATACAGGAGTATACAATAATTAAAATCATTTGGGTTCTTTATGGTTCTTCAGAGTTCTCTGTTTAGTAGGACCTGTTTTCAGGGTTTGCGTTTTTTTTTAAAAAAACTTTTAATGATCAGATACTTAAATTTATAGTCGTTTAGTCAAAACAGCTTGCAGATTGGCTTAAATTAGTCACATTTTCATGTTATATATTAAATATATTGTATTAAAGTGTCTACTTATTTGCAAGTTTTTTTTCTGTTCAGGCATCAAAAAGGAAAAGTAAATAATGAAGGGAAAGGGGAAAACTGCCAATGACAAAGACTGTCCTCTGCAGTTCCCTGACCTAGAACCAGTGGACCATGTTACCCAATGTCCAAAGTACACCCACAGTAAGTACTAAAGTGTAAAATTTCTCTTCTTTACCCACAGTAAGTACTAGAGTGTAAAATTTCTCTTCTTTACCCACAGTAAGTACTAGAGTGTAAAATTTCTCTTCTTTACCCACAGTAAGTACTAGAGTGTAAATTTTCTCTTCTTTACCCACAGTAAGTACTAGAGTGTAAAATTTCTCTTCTTTACCCACAGTAAGTACTAGAGTGTAAATTTTCTCTTCTTTACCCACAGTAAGTACTAGATTGTAAATTTTCTCTTCTTTATCCTCAGTAAGTACTAGAGTGTAAATTTTCTCTTCTTTACCTGCAGTAAGTACTAGAGTGTAAAATTTCTCTTCTTTACCCACAGTAAGTACTAGAGTGTAAATTTTCTCTTCTTTACTCACAGTAAGTACTAGAGTGTAAATTTTCTCTTCTTTACTCACAGTAAGTACTAAAGTGTAAAATTTCTCTTCTTTACCCACAGTAAGTACTAGAGTGTAAAATTTCTCTTCTTTACCCACAGTAAGTACTAGAGTGTAAATTTTCTCTTCTTTACCCACAGTAAGTACCAGAGTGTAAGATTTCTCTTCTATACCCACAGTAAGTACTAGAGTGTAAGATTTCTCTTCTTTACCCGCAGTAAGTACTAGAGTGTAAGATTTCACTTCTTTACCAACAATAAGTACTAGAGTGTAAAATTTCTCTTCTATACCCACAGTAAGTACTCGAGTGTAAATTTTCTCATCTTTACCCACAGTAAGTACTAGAGTGTAAATTTTCTCATCTTTACCCGCAGTAAGTACCAGAGTGTAAGATTTCTCTTCTATACCCACAGTAAGTACCAGAGTGTAAGATTTCTCTTCTTTACCCGCAGTAAGTACTAGAGTGTAAGATTTCACTTCTTTACCAACAATAAGTACTAGAGTGTAAAATTTCTCTTCTATACCCACAGTAAGTACTCGAGTGTAAATTTTCTCATCTTTACCCACAGTAAGTACTAGAGTGTAAATTTTCTCATCTTTACCCGCAGTAAGTACTAGAGTGTAAATTTTCTCTTCTTTACCCACAGTAAGTACTAGAGTGTAAGATTTCTCTTCTTTACCCACAGTAAGTACTAGAGTGTAAAATTTCTCTTCTTTACCCACAGTAAGTACTAGAGTGTAAAATTTCTCTTCTTTACCCACAGTAAGTACTAGAGTGTAAATTTTCTCTTCTTTACCCACAGTAAGTACTAGAGTGTAAAATTTCTCTTCTTTACCCACAGTAAGTACTAGAGTGTAAATTTTCTCTTCTTTACCCACAGTAAGTACTAGATTGTAAATTTTCTCTTCTTTATCCTCAGTAAGTACTAGAGTGTAAATTTTCTCTTCTTTACCTGCAGTAAGTACTAGAGTGTAAAATTTCTCTTCTTTACCCACAGTAAGTACTAGAGTGTAAATTTTCTCTTCTTTACTCACAGTAAGTACTAGAGTGTAAATTTTCTCTTCTTTACTCACAGTAAGTACTAAAGTGTAAAATTTCTCTTCTTTACCCACAGTAAGTACTAGAGTGTAAAATTTCTCTTCTTTACCCACAGTAAGTACTAGAGTGTAAATTTTCTCTTCTTTACCCACAGTAAGTACCAGAGTGTAAGATTTCTCTTCTATACCCACAGTAAGTACTAGAGTGTAAGATTTCTCTTCTTTACCCGCAGTAAGTACTAGAGTGTAAGATTTCACTTCTTTACCAACAATAAGTACTAGAGTGTAAAATTTCTCTTCTATACCCACAGTAAGTACTCGAGTGTAAATTTTCTCATCTTTACCCACAGTAAGTACTAGAGTGTAAATTTTCTCATCTTTACCCGCAGTAAGTACCAGAGTGTAAGATTTCTCTTCTATACCCACAGTAAGTACCAGAGTGTAAGATTTCTCTTCTTTACCCGCAGTAAGTACTAGAGTGTAAGATTTCACTTCTTTACCAACAATAAGTACTAGAGTGTAAAATTTCTCTTCTATACCCACAGTAAGTACTCGAGTGTAAATTTTCTCATCTTTACCCACAGTAAGTACTAGAGTGTAAATTTTCTCATCTTTACCCGCAGTAAGTACTAGAGTGTAAATTTTCTCTTCTTTACCCACAGTAAGTACTAGAGTGTAAGATTTCTCTTCTTTACCCACAGTAAGTACTAGAGTGTAAATTTTCTCTTCTTTACTCACAGTAAGTACTAGAGTGTAAATTTTCTCTTCTATACCCACAGTAAGTACTAGAGTGTAAATTTTCTCTTCTTTACCCACAGTAAGTACTAGAGTGTAAATTTTCTCTTCTTTACCCACAGTAAGTACTAGAGTGTAAATTTTCTCTTCTTTACCCACAGTAAGTACTAGAGTGTAAATTTTCTCTTCTTTACCCACAGTAAGTACTAGAGTGTAAAATTTCTCTTTACCAGTATACCCACAATAAGTACTCAATGTTTCTCTTCAATACCCATAGTAAGTACTAGTACTTCAGTACCCATAGTAAGTACTACATGTAGTTCATAGTATGGTAAGTACTAAGAGTGCAAGATTTATCTTCTATATGTATTGTAAGAGTGATTTCTGTTTATTATTCACATTAACTATCAGAGTTTAAGGTTTTCTTCTGTACCCATAGAGTGTAAGATTTCTCTTCTGTACTCATAGTAAGTACTAGGAGAGCTGAAATTCTCATCAATTTCTCTTCTATACCCACAATACCTACTCAATACTGCCTATCCTTTTTTACTGTTTACCATGATTTTGTATTGAATGATCTGCAGTAAATGCAAATTAAACACAGTGATCCTTGATCCACCTACAAGAAAATGTCTAGGACTGACTAAACTTGGTTATATGTAATCTTGCTTATACAATAAACCATTCTTTCAAGTTCTTGTATATAAACTTACCTACAATATTTAAACGCTGATCTTTCTGTCCAGTTGGAATTCTATGTGTGGCTAGCAAATCATTTTCTGATATATGTTCTAGCAAGGCTTTGATATCAAATCTAGAGACTCTGTTGTACATTGTAAGCATTATTGTTTTGTAGTTCTGTCTCGGTCTGAGGAGGATGGTATTGGAGTCGAAGAGCTGGACTCAATCCAGTCAGACCTCGAGACTCTATTAGCGGCAGCAGGTCTAAGACTAAAACAGCTGGAAAACGAGAAACAAATTCTAGTCAACTGGGCAGACAAGAAAGATATCAAGGGTTTTAAGGCCGGCAAGGTATCCAGATGCTTTTTTTTTTTTACTTAGGTTAGAATTTCTATGAATTTTTCGTTCGGCTATGAATTTATTTGTTTTTAGGTCTCGGAATAATGTTTGTATATGTTAAATGTTATGAATAATGTTAATAATCTGGAAATAGATTTGTAATAGTCAATATTCTATGGAAAAAATATGTATTTAGCAGCATTATTATTTTGCTCCTTTATAGGATTTTCCCAGAACTTTGGTTTTTGATACAATATTGATAAATGATGCAATTAAATCTGATGAGATATTTTGTCTTTAAGTTTTATAATATGAATCTTAAAAGATATTTTTTGAAAATATAATATTTTCAGTCTGAAGCTCCTGTTTCTGGTAAAAGAGGCAAAGTAATTGAAGACAAACCGAATAAGAAATTTAAAAGCTCTGAGAGTGGTAAAGGATCTCATCCTACTCCCCCAGGTCCAGGACGACCCAAGAGTAAAATTGCTCAGGTGAGATGGAAAAGTTACTGGTGATGAAAATTATGTAATATCTTATTCAGTATAAAGCAGGAATTTCTGATGTGTTTTTCTCCTCGAAAAAACTTCACAAACCCTTGGCCTACTGTCCTATTTAAATTTGGGGTTTGTTTTTGTAAGGTTTTCTATTTTTAGCTCACCTCGACGAAGTCGAGATGAGCTTATGCTATACCCCCGGCGTTGGCGTCGGCGTTAGCGTCGGCGTCCCAGGTTAAAGTTTTAGGAGCAAGTCCATTCCCAAGTAACTACAAGCCCTACCTGGACCAAACTTGCATGGATGATGCATCTAGGGATGGACACTACCACACTTGCTTCGGATGCTGGATCTGACCTAGATTTTCCAGATGAGTGACCAGGTTAAAGTTTTTGGAGCAGGTCCATTCCCAAGTAACTACAAGCCCTACCTGAACCAAACTTACATGGATGATGCATCTAGGGATGGACACAACCACACTTGCTTCAGATGCTGGATCTGACCTAGATTTTCCAGATGAGTGACCAGGTTAAAGTTTTTGGAGCAGGTCCATTCCCAAGTAACTATAAGCCCTACCTGAACCAAACTTGCATGGATGATGCATCTAGAGATGGACACTACCACACTTGCTTCAGATGCTGGATCTGACCTAGATTTTCCAGATGAGTGACCAGGTTAAAGTTTTTGGAGCAGGTCCATTCCCAAGTAACTATAAGCCCTACCTGAACCAAACTTGCATGGATGATGCATCTAGGGATGGACACAACCACACTTGCTTCAGATGCTGGATCTGAACTAGATTTTCCAGATGAGTGACCAGGTTAAAGTTTTTGGAGCAAGTCCATTCCCAAGTAACTATAAGCCCTACCTGAACCAAAGTTGCATGGATGATGCATCTAGAGATGGACACTACCACACTTGCTTCGGATGCTGGATCTGACCTATATTTGGAGCAGGTCTATTCCCAAGTAACTATAAGCCCTACCTGAACCAAACTTGCATGGATGATGCATCTAGGGATGGACACTACCACACTTGCTTCGGATGTTGGATCTGACCTATATTTGGAGCAGGTCTATTCCCAAGTAACTATAAGCCCTACCTGGACCAAACTTGCATGGATGATGCATCTAGGGATGGACACTACCACACTTGCTTTGGATGCTGAATCTGACCTAGATTTTCCAGATGAGTGAATTTTAGCCATATTTTAATCAAATTAGCATGGATGATGTATCTTAGGATGGACACTTTCAGACTTGTTTTGGATTCTGAATCTGACCTACATTTTCCAGATGGGTGACCAGAGTAATGTTTTTGGAGTAGCTATATAATATTATGGCATGTTATGATTAAACAGCTTGGATGGTACATCTAAGGATGAAAACTTCCAGACTTGCTTTGGATGTTGGAACTGTCCAAAATTTTCTTGATTAGTAAACAGGTTAGAAGTTTTTTGAGCAGGTCTATTTCCAAGTATCTATAAGTCCTTTTTTAACCAAACTTGTATGGATATTGATCTTGGGATGAACACTAACTATAAAAAATATGATGTGAGATTTGCCTTACTTATAGATAGCCTTCGTCGAGGTGAGCTTCGTAATCTTTGATTACCTATGTTTCTTTATGTTTTTTTTTTTTTTTTGCAAAAATACTTCAAAGAAGGAATAATTTTAGAAAGCTTTTAAAATTTATGGACTTAAAAAAGTTTGACAATGAATTAGTTTTTGTTGTGTTTAACTTTGTGCCAAATTTGTAGACAAAAGCTCAGGAATTGGACTTCTCAGCTGATTCTCCATTAGATTTACCTCGGCTACCAAAGAATGATGCAGTTAATCGATTTTGGGCCTCAGTTGAACCATATTGTGCAGAAATAACAAATGAGGACATCAAAGTCCTGGAGGACATCCTTACTAGTCATGATGAGGAGGCAGATTATTTCAGAGTTCCTCCCCTTGGGAAGCATTATGCAGAGAAATGGGCAGAGGAGGACCTATTGGAGGAGCAGAGAGATGGTAAGTCCCTATTGTCTGTCTGTCTGTCCATCTGTCTGTCTGTCTGCCAGTCAGGCAAAGGACAACCTATTAGAGGAGTAGAGAGATGGTAAGTCCCTTACTGTCTGTCTGTCCTTCTGTCTGTCTGCCAGTCAGGCAAAGGAGGACCTATTTAGGAGCAGAGAGATGATGAGTCCCTATTGTTTCTGTCTGTCCATCTGTCCGTCCATCTGTCTGTTGGAGTTGGAGCATATATGGCAAGTTCCCTACTGTCCGTATGTTTGTCTGTCAGTCAGGCAGAGGAAGACTTATTGGAGGAGCAGAGAGAAGGTTAATCCCCTACTGTCTGTGTGTCTGGCAGGCAGAGGAGGACCTATTGGAGGAGCAGAGAGAAGGTTAATCCCCTACTGTCTGTGTGTCTGGCAGGCAGGCAGGCAGAGGAAGACCTATTGAAGGAGCAGAGAGAAGGTTAATCCCCTACTGTCTGTCCGTCTGGCAGGAGGAGCAGAGAGATGGTAAAGGGAGTCATCATATTCTCTATATGTTGAACCTTAGTAAAGAATTAATTTCAGCTTCATTGTCAATGCAGTATGATTCAGATCAGAGTTAAGGCCCATGGGCCTCTTTTTTTCCATATAGCAGTGATTCATTTTGGTGTGCGTCCTGCGTAAATTACGCATGAATTTTGCTCGGGACGCATTATTTCAATAAATGTGCATCCCAGTGGACGCATTAAATTTATAAAATAAAAGGTATTATTTTAAATTATTTTGGTATAGTATGCTTCAAAACTTGGCCGATTGTATCATATCCACGTTCTTAGAGATATGCATGAGCGATTTTAACAGGTACAAGGTTGCCAACAACAGGTCAGATTTCACACTTCACTGTTAAATTGCGGTTAACAATGAAACAATAATCAGAAAAAGAAAGTTCAATTTTGTCTGCTGTGGAACATTTCTGAAGCGTATTACTATATACTAGGCCTATACATTTGTATTTTTTCTGTAACCTGAATCGTTTTATTTTTTTCCTTAGAAGCTAATAAGCATTTGATCATTCTACTTCTGGCTATTTTTCTTTTTTAAAAGAAAACTTTATTTACTTCATTCAATAGAACAACTGGTCTGCTTCTGTGCATTTTATGACAGATACAAATTACATGTGAAATCGTATGTACGATCTAAAAATAGAACTAAGGTGCACTGTTGACAATATATTATTAACATGCCACAAATACTTCCAATTGATAGTAATTATAGTATAAACCACTCACAGCTTCTATAAAACAACTACACTTTCGGACAAAACCCTTTTCTATTTAACCAGAATTTCCTCTGTAATATCTAATTGAGTACCTTGGATTTGGATGCATTGGTTTTGGCATGGGACTCATTGTTGTCAGTAAGAGGGGTCCTTTGGACCCATAATAACCATTTTCAAAATGAATTACTGATATAGATTTAAACGTTTACAATTCAAAGCAATGTAATATGTAATTTTTCAATAACAGCCCATGTTACTTTTTTTTAAAGCAGGATTAATTCTATGTGCAGTGAAAAGAGGAAATTATGGGGGGTAATACACCTTTCTCATAGTTAGCTCACCTGAGCCGAAGGCTCAAGTGAGCTTTTCTGATCACATTTTGTCCGTCGTCCGTCCGTCCGTCTGTCTGTCTGTCTGTCTGTCCGTCCGTCCGTCCGTCTGTAAACTTTTCACATTTTTGACTTCTTCTCAAGAACCACTGGGCCAATTTTGACCAAACTTGGTACAAAGCATCCTTGGGTGAAGGGGAATTTAAATTGTAAAAATGAAGGGCCAAGTCCCCTCACAAGGGGAGATAATCAAGAGAAGACAAAAATAGGGTGGGGTCATTAAAAAATCTTCTTCTCAAGAACCACAGGGCCAGTAAAGCTGAAACTTATACAGAAGCATCCTGGGGTAGCGTAGATTCTAAATTGTTCAAATCATGACCCCCGGGGGTAGGGCGGGGCCACAATGTGGAATCAATGTTTTACATAAGAATATATAGGAAAAATCTTTGAAAATCTTCTTCTTAAGAACCACTGGGCCAGAAAAGCTGAAACTTATGTGGAAGCATCCTTGGGTAATGAAGATTCTAAATTGTACAAATCATAGCCCCTGGGGGTAGGGCGGGGCCACAATAGGGAATCAAAGTTTTACATTGAAATATATAGGCAAAATCTTTGAAAATCTTCTTCTCAAGAACCATTGGGCCAGAAAAGCTGAAACTTATGTGGAAGCATCCTTGGGTAGCGTAGATTCTAAATTGTTCAAATCATGGCCCCTGGGGGTAGGGCGGGGCCACAATAGGGAATCAAAGTTTTACGTTGAAATATATAGGCAAAATCTTTGAAAATCTTCTTCTTAAGAACCACTGGGCCAGAAAAGCTGAAACTTATGTGGAAGCTTCCTTGGGTAGTGAAGATTCTAAATTGTTCAAATCATAGCCCCTGGGGGTAGGGCGGGGCCACAATAGGGAATCAAAGTTTTACATTGAAATATATAGGCAAAATCTTTGAAAATCTTCTTTTAAAGAACCACTGGGCCAGAAAAGCTGAAACTTATGTGGAAGCATCCTTGGGTAGTGAAGATTCTAAATTGTTCAAATCATAGCCCCCGGGGGTAGGGCGGGGCCACAATAGGGAATCAAAGTTTTACGTTGAAATATATAGGCAAAATCTTTGAAAATCTTCTTCTTAAGAACCACTGGGCCAGAAAAGCTGAAACTTATGTGGAAACATCCTTGGGTATTGTTGATTCTAAATTGTTCAAATCATAGCCCCCAGGGGTAGGGCGGGGCCGCAATAAATATTACAAAGGGGAGGTCTTGTGAAGAACAGCAGGGCAAAAGTAACTCAGGTGAGCGTTGTGGCCCATGGGCCTCTTGTTTTTGTTTTGTTTTTGTTTTTAACATCTTAAAGGGTCTAAAATAAATGACAAGAGGAGAGGACAGAATAACAACAACAACAACAGCCTGAGTAACTCCAATGATGCAACAACATTACTGAAAAAAGCAGAACAGAGGTAGTCACAATATACAAAATCTTTTGTAATTGAATCATATTTGTTTTGTATCTTAATGTATAGAGCATATTTTTAAGAATGAATTGGTTAAATTTATTTGTTTCTCCTTCAAAATAACCTTGTTATACCTGTAACATACCGTAAATCTGGAAATTTTTACTGTAGATAAATCTTTAGCAAATTTGCACGTGCATTGCATTTGCAAAAATATTTTTCTTAAAAATAAATCAGCAACAAAAAATATAAATAAATATTTTGCTGACAGCTGATGTCTTTTTATACCCCCCGCAAACGAAGTTTAGGGGGGGTATATTGGAATCAGCTTGTCCGTCTGTCCGTCCGTCTGTCTGTAGACGAGATTTTGTCCGGACCATTTCTTGGAAACTGTTGCAAGGATTTGTCTAAAAATATGTATACTTATTCTTTGCCATATGAAGGTGTGCACCTGGTATTTTCATCATGATTGGATAATTTTTTTTGCATTTTACAGGTGTTTTTTTCATTTTTATTATGTTGTTTTGTCTGGATCTGTTCCCCGAGACTATTGCATAGATTTGTATGAAAATTTGTACACTTATTATTTACCATATGAAGATGTGCACCTGGTATTTTCAACATTATTTGATAATTTTTCTGCATTTTACAGGTGTGTTTTTTTTTTTTCATTTTTATTGACTTAGTCATTTCGGGTTCATGTCTAAGGTTTGAGACATAGAATCTAGAACATCTGAACAAAAATGTGAACTACAGCTTAAAACTACTCATCAGAACTAAAAAAAAATCACAAAGTATTAAAAACAGTTTTTACATTACACAGCAGGTAGTGTAAATCCATTTGTCCCATGGGAGTAATGAGTGGACATGCATCCAGTTAAAGATTAATTAATGAGTTCAGTGTGGAAAGCTGTTAGGGCATCTCTGATCGAGCAGGTCTTATCTATATCTCCTGGGAATTCGGCAGAAAGAAATAAAGATCTCTGTTGTCTAAGTCTCTTAATTGTAATTTATGTCTGTCAAAATACATAGTTACTGTAACCAGCCTTTTATTTTTAAAATGAGTTTGATATAAAGGTATTAAGATCAATTTGATTTTGTATAATTAATTATGATATTTTTTTTTTCAACAATCAATTTGCAGAGTGTCATGTCTCACAAAGATGACAGATAGTTGCAAACTATAAACACTGTAATTACTAGTATTGATGTTTTATTAGGCTGCACCTTAGTTTCATTCATTAAAAAAAAATATAATGAGTAATTAAATTTTCACTCTAAATGTTTTATGTGAACACCTCTCACATCTAGAAAACATTAGTGATTTGGTACCTTCTCTGAAAAACCCAGTGGGGGGTATTTGTCCCTTTTGGACAGTTCTAGTTTTTAACTGATGAACAGGTGTTCGTAAGCAGTGGTCATTTTAAAAAATCTGTTTATACTTCAAGCTAATTACCCATTATAATTCTTGCCTTAACTACATTCAATATCGTCCGATGGTTTGACATGCAGTATGTCTCTTTTAAATTATTTCTGCAAGAAAGTAATGAAAGTTGTTTTATCTAACAACGAATTCCTAGCATGACAGAATCTTACGGGAGAACTTAGTCTCATGTATAATGAAACCCGATGAAAGAAAAGGGAGTGAATGTACATGCGAAATTCATTGCACATGTGTAACTTATAAACTGTTATAAAATTTTAAGCACTTTTTATTTTTAGCACTGATGACAATTTGTAAAATTTTAAAACATAAAAATTAATCAACACCTTTTTGACCCAGATTCGAAAAAATAAATCGATGTAAAAATTTCAATATTTACGGTATTTACTTGAAATTTTAGTTTGATCATCATGGTGGCAAAAAAAAACATTGTTAAAGTAAAGAAATATTATCAGGTTGTAAAACATGGAAAATATTTATGTGTTCCATATAAGTGTGTTTGACTGTAATACCTTAGCATTTGTAGACTCCACAGTCCAGATGTATATATATATATATAAAAAAAAAACTACCTTGATTTAATGTACTAGTGCCTCATTTAAAGACTAAAGTAGGGAGACGGCCAGAAATGTTTCCATTATTTTCTATAAATTTTTAGCAACATGGAGGAATCTCCGTTTGGACCCCTGACTCAGAGACTAGTGTCAGCCCTGATTGAGGAGAACATCATGACCCCCATGGATGACACAATGAATGAAATCACAGGAGGAAAAGGTAAGTAACCTGTTTACTGGACCACAGATGTTAGTCATCAAGTGAAATTTTCTATAGCTCCTTAGATTTGGAAGTTTTCTTTCCAAGTTAAGGTAATCCAAGGCTGATCAAACTAAGGGCTGGAGAATGGCTAAATGAAATAGTCTTCCAGCTAGTTTCATTTTTATCCAAAACTCTTATCAATAAGTTTAATATTTTACAGAATCTCCAGAGGAAGCACCTGCAATTTCACCCCGAGTTTTGGCAAAGCAGCTAAATATTGGTAACCCTGCTCACCTGGAGAAGAGAATTAGAAAGGAGCTGGAGGAACAAGGTAAACTATAGCAGCTAAATATTGGTAACCCTGCCCACCTGGAGAAGAGTATTTGAAAGGAGTTGGAGGAAAAAAGTAAACTATTTCAGCTGAATATTGGTAACCCTGCCTACCTGGAGAAGAGAATTAGAAAGGAGCTGGAGGAACAAGGTAAACTATTTCAGCTAAATATTGGTAACCCTGCTCACATGGAGAAGAGAATTAGAAAGGAGCTGGAGGGACAAGGTAAACTATAGCAGCTACATGTAAATATTGGTAACCCTGCCCACCTGGAGAAGAGAATTAGAAAGGAGCTGGAGGGACAAGGTAAACTAAAGCAGCTAAATATTGGTAACCCTGCCCACCTGGAGAAAAGAATTAGAAAGGAGCTGGAGGAACAAGGTAAACTATAGCAGCTAAATATTGGTAACCCTGCCCACCTGGGGAAGAGAATTAGAAAGGAGCTGGAGGAACAGGTAAACTATAGCAGCTAAATATTGGTAACCCTGCCCACCTGGAGAAGAGAATTAGAAAGGAGCTGGAGGGACAAGGTAAACTATAGCAGCTAAATATTGGTAACCCTGCCCACCTGGAGAAGAGAATTAGAAAGGAGCTGGAGGAACAAGGTAAACTATAGCAGCTAAATATTGGTAACCCTGCTCACATGGAGAAGAGAATTAGAAAGGAGCTGGAGGAACAAGGTAAACTATAGCAGCTAAATATTGGTAACCCTGCCCACCTGGAGAAGAGAATTAGAAAGGAGCTGGAGGAACAGGTAAACTATTGCAGCTGAATATTGGAAACCCTGCCCACCTCGAGAAGAGAATAAGAAAAAAGCTGGAGAAACAAGGTACTGTAAACATACATAAAAAAGCGCAATCAAATTTTATTCTTCAACTGAGTAGTGTAATCATAAATTAGCACATTTGAAGCAAAGCTTCTACATTTATTTGCTTAATCAATCATATGTAGTTGAACTATGGTATCTTGAACACTGATATCTTGAAGACTATGGATATATCAAATTCATTTGAAAGTCCCAGTCACTTTTTCTCTATTAATTTTACCCTCACTTTATTGAACCCTTGGGTATCTCAAAGCTTTTTTACTGACCCAAACCCATCAAATTCAAGATAACAAAGATTTGACTATATATGTGTGTTCTTTGTGGTCAAGAAACAGTGTGAAAAGTGCTGAAATTTGATTAACGCCTAAAATAAGTATGTTTACAGTATTATAAACTTATGTATGACTTCCACCACTGGCATTCATAAAGAGTAAAATGTTTGTTGCATTATTACTGTGTGCATGGAAGATATCAGTTTCATTTAATCTAGTTGTTCTTTATTGACAACAAATGAACATCCCTTCCCTTCCCCAATTAACACCCCTGGCAAATACTACATGAAATTTCCTTGAATCAGAACAAAAACATCTCTTATGCACTGTTGAACAAAACATGGGGATTTAGTTTAAAGTTCAAATTTATTGACTTAACAATTGATTTGTAACATAATCTCAACAGTGGCTTTTACCTTTGATGTATGATTAGTAGTCAAGGTCATAATGCAGTACATGTAATATGATAAAGAAAGGACATAGCTACATAAACATAAGTTCTGTGTGTTTGTTTACACAGGAATACTTGATTGTGATGATAAGGTAGATGATAATCCAGACGATGAAATTCTGACAGAACTCCGACAAAAACAGCAGGAGCTGAAGGCGGTTAGTCAGTATGTGGTGTCAGTCACAAAAACCCTACTGGATAAAGCTAAGGAGGAGGTCAAAAAACAGGAGCTGAAAAAGAAGCTAGCCACCGCTGATGCTGAGGTAATGTTTACAGATTCTGGTTTGTAAGATTATGAAAAAGTTCTGAAAGTCTGAAATAACCTAGGGAGATTGTTTCTTTATAATGGAGTTTGATCTGTCAATTAAATGCACTCTGAAAATTAGTTTGTCACCTTTTATATTAAAAAAAAAAACTAAGCACTTTGGTTATGTATAAATGATGAAAATTATTCACATGCATGTTTCTTTTTAAAATTGTCCAATGAATGAAACCGATTTTTCTAGGTACTGGAAGCATACAGAAAAGTCCAGGCTACCAGACAGAAGAAGAAAACCCCAACAAAGAAGGAGAGAGATGCTGCTTGGAAAGCCATCAAAGAAAGGGAGACAATCAAACGACAAATAGAGGGAAAATTTAAGTGACTCTTACACATTATTAATATTGTTAACATTCTAACAAATCATAATAACTTCAATCGTGATCGATAGGGCAGCCAATGTGTTTTGAAAATAAGCATTCAAAATACTTAAATCACTCAACAAGATGCTCTTCAGTTCACTTTTCTCAACAATGGCAGACACTTGCTTCACTGAGATAAACATGCCCTGTTTCAAATTAACAGAAGGTACAAATCTAACTGTTGTAAACTGAGTCAACATCACTTGGAGCTTCACAAGTGTAATGATATGTGTGTATGCAGTAAAATTTGTGACAACTACATGTCTCATAAAAATGGTTTTGTTTAATGTGCATTGGTAATGTTATTATATGTATACATGTTGTGAATATGTGCTTTAGAAAAATGATTTTATCTGCACTTTCATGTGCCAGATGTTATTATAAATGGATATATACTATGTATAGATGTACTATGTAGTCTACAATTTTTTACTGTATATCGTATTATTTTGAATCCATATGCAATGTTATTATAATGTTGTTGGGAATGGAAATAAATTGAATTTTTGAAATATCATTATGCATATAGTAGCTAATTTGTGTTTAACTTAGTTTCAAAGAAACTCTCCAAATATTTTCATCACCTTACAAACAAAATACAACATAAGAGTTGCTCAACTGTTTCATACTTTTCAGATCTTACAATGTTTGTCCTTGGTCTGCTGTTCTAACTGTCACCCCCATCCCCTTTGCAATGAACTCATTTTCAAAAGAAAGTGTTCATTCAAGATAATTCTATCAAATATGTATACATTGGTATCTGAGAGCTGTTGTTTTAAAGTGCTCTTATCTTGACAAAGTTTGCTAATTTTCAAAGAGAGTTTACAAGTTACAGTTAAGCCTTCTGGTATTTACTTTGAAATAGGAAAGGAGAAAAAGTATGGCTGAATGGGAATTGAACCCAGGATCCCTGCATTACTAGTCAAGTTTTCTAGTTACTGAGCTATCCAGGCTGGGGTAACAGTCCATATTAGCCCAGACAACTCCTTTCCCCCCCTCCTTAAATTGCACAACCCAGATTCTTAACCCCTGGCAGGACTTTCACCTGTGAGTCCAGGGGTGGTCAACAGCACCAAACAGGAAAGTAGAAAAATTATGGCTGGACCTGGATTTGAACCTGGGACCCCTGCATTACTAGTAAAATGCTCTAACCTTAACTGAGCTACAAGGCTGATATCCATAGTCCTGTGAGCCCAAACAACTGCAACGTCATACATTGATACATAGTAGTGAGAACATTTTAACAGTGTCAAAATTTTCTGACTGATGGAGTAGTTTTAAAATATATCATCATTATTTAATCTCAGATATGTTGAGAGAAAGTTGATAGTTTCAAAATTTTTGTGGACCTTTTCAATTATCCTTGCCTTTTCTTATTACGGATGTGAAAAGTGCCACGCAATATATATTTTTTGTTTACCTATGAATTTAACCTCACAGAATTCTGTGCATTTAATTCTTGAGCACAGTAAAAGATCCATTCATGAAAATTCTATATTAAGTAGACTCGTATCTTGTCTGGAACATTTTAATAGCACTTAAAATTTTTTGAGACTTTTGACTATATTTTTCTGTAATGCCTTGATTTTATTTTTTTATTAAAAAAATCTTGCATCAAAAAAGTATTAAAGAAACTAGAGAAACTGATGAAAATTGAACAGAGAGATTTGTTTTTTGAGTAAATGTATAGATAGTTTTCATATGGCGAATTTTCTCTCTGAGTTATTCCCCTTGGACGCCATTTTGGTGGTCAACCTGGTAATTTTTCCTCTTTGTCTTACCAAATATAAGAGAGTGTAGCAGAAATATTTGGGGGAAAATCTTTATTGAATAAGAATTATGAAATAAAGGAGGCTTTAACAAATGTATATATTTCAGAAAAACAATGCTTCCTACCCCACGATGGCCAGTATAAGAAGTTAAAGTTGGTTGAATAATGAAGGAATATGAGCATGTTGACCCCCAATATGGCGGCCAACGGGAAATAACTCTTGCTAATTTGGGCCTACTGAAAACTATCTATTGGAAAGGGGGGATAATTATAGTTATTTCTGTCTTTGGTGCATAGTTTCATATGTAGCTTTCATATTTCATAGGTGTATTCCTTGTGACAATTAAGATTTTTCCTACCATATGAACATTCTTTCCTCATGACCTTGACCTTGGAATTTGATCTACTTTTGAAAAACTTTAACCTTGCCTATAACTTTTAAGTGGTTGCAGATGTAGCTCAGTCACTGATCTGATAAAATTGGTATGGATGATCAGAGTTACAGCGTGACCCATTGAAAAAAGTGCATATTTATTGCGCACAAAAAAGTGTGTTATTTTTTTATTTATTTCTCCATACATTAAGATGACATTATTCAAAATATTACTAACCGTGAGTTCTTAACATTTTCTTTACTAGAGCTTTCATATTTTTCTTGTGTATTTCTCAAGCTCATGACAGAACCTTGCTTTGGGTACAAATATTTTTGACATGACCTTTACCTACAAGTTGATCTAGTATACTTTTGAAATTAACTTGGCCATTATCAAAACTGCTGTTTGGGGGCTACTCAATGTTTTACAAACACATCTTGTTTATTAATTACAGAAATTAAGTTATGTTCTGAGTTTATTATTACCACTATTTTACTTTTTTTTGTTTTTGGTCTTTTTTCTTTTCTTTTCCTTTTTTTGGGGGGGGGGGTGTTTATTTGTTTTTGTTTTTTGGTTTGTTTGTTTAGGTTTTTGGGGTTTTGTTTGTTTGTTTTTTTTTAAATTTGTTGTTGTTTTTTTTAATTACATAAAATCGGGTCATTTCTAATTCCGGATAAAAGATTTCCATTTGCAAAATTTGGCGTTTAGTAAACGTTGTAGCGTGGTCAACAATACGTTTTGCGAAAAGAAAATTGCACGAAGGATTGCAAGTTTTAATTGACATTGATGAAAGGAAAAAAATTGGTTGGCTTCGAGTTCGAATGCTCTCCAAGTTGCTCACTAATATATATTGACCGATTTTATTTACATTCAGGAGGAATGGACTGACCGATCTCTTCTGAAATACTCCATATTCTTCGTGTTACGTACAGTGTTTAGAGTGAAAGATTTCGCCAACAAAAAAAAATGTCCAAAGCATTTCCAAACGTTCCCATTCAGTCAACAGCGGGTGCTGTCCCCATGAAAAATGAAAAGGGTAAGATGATTCAGTAATTAGAATTTAAATTAACCTTTCTATTTAGTTATATGCGTATGATTAACTTGATTGAGAAAACCTCTAGATTCTCACTTTATACGTGTTTGTGCAGACATATCCTGGCACGATAGTTATTTATCAGGTTCAGTTCAAAGACTATTTCTACATATGTAGCTATTAACTAACTCTCACCGGGTTCACAGGTGTGTGAAAGTCCGTCGATATACTGGGTCTCAATAGCTCAGTGGTTGAAGCGCTAGCTGGCACGGTATGCCAGATTCCCTGGGTTCAAGTCCGGGTTGAGACTTGATTTTTCACCACCTGTGCAGATACCCACTATTCCCTTGGAACATGCCTTACAGCATTTCCTTAACTCCCAGAATTCGAGGACAAATTTCTACAAAGAGGTGGAATATGTCAACACTACAGGGTTCACAGGTGTGTTAAAGTCAAGACAATATATCGGGTCTCAGAGGCCCTGGGTTTGAGTCCTGGTTGAGATTTGATTTTCCATCACCTGTGACATAACTAACTAGCTAATATGTTTTATGGTGCCACCGTTGGGGCCAAGCACAGTTATATACCATAAAAAAAAACAATTTACATAGCTTATACTTTAAATTTGATCTACCTCTTCAAACTTCAAACCGCACGAGACGGCCTAGTCTGTGACTTCACATGACGTCATATGTAAGTTGCATTTCCGTAACTGAGTCTAAAAGGCCTTTTGCACTTTTGTAATGAAAAGACATTGTAGAGTTGATGCAATTATTTTTTGTTCCTTGTAAGCTCTCTGCAGAAATCTTAATACATGGTAACTGTGGGACTTTTATTTGCCATCATAATACTGAATCCTGGTAGTGAAGGAATTCTGGGAAGGATGCACAGAAAAATTTGCTTGACAAATATACAGATTTTAATTTGAATTTTCTTTCTTCTTACACGTTAGTCTATTGAGCTCGCTGCACTCGCTATTAATTATTAACTAGCTACGAAGGTAGAAATAGTCTTTGGACTGGACCTGTTTATATCTCTGGTTTATGTTATGCAAGAAGGAGTTTTGCATACTGTATAGCCTAACATTTGATTCCTAGGATTCAATGTGTGATAAAGTAAATAAATTAGTTTAAAGAATATTTTGATTTTTGTTCTTGCAATGATAAACCTAGTTAATTATACAGGATTATATTTGAATGCCAGCAGTTAATAATCCTCTAATATTCCTGACATATTGGGAAGTTTATAAAATGAGGAAATTCTCTATTGATGATACTAATATTATATTGTAATAGTTGTCATTTATATTGTTTATATTGTATTTGGTGTTCGGTTACAGGGGAAGTTGTAATGCAGAAAGTGAAAGTGAACAGATATGTTACGGGAAAGAGGTAAGTCACTTCACAGTAGTCAAAAGTCAAAACTTACTGAATAGGTACATGACTAATTACCATATTTACATTCTTCTTCAATTATTCCTCACTGTTTAGGCCAGATTATGCTCCAGACAGTAGTGGCGGAGAAGAAAGTGATGAAGAATTTGAGTTTAACAGAAAAAAGCAACAGCAACAAGCAAATGAAGAAGTTGTTGAAGAAGAACCTGAGCTATCGGAGAACATTCAGGATCGACGTCTCCGACGATTACAAACCCGTGATGTGGATTACGACAGTGATGAAGATGAAAGGTAAGGATTTAAAATTTTGTGTGAAATTGCTTATTTTAAGCTCTGTTGCTATCAAATTGTAATTGCAATGCAGTAAAAATTGAGTGAATTTTTCAATCATTGAAAATATTTTGACATTATTTTATTTGTGTTTAAAAATATTTTTAAAAATCTGCATGTTTGAATAATATTAGAATATAATTTTCTGAACAGTTGTAAAAAAAAAAAAATAGAATTATACTTTTCAATTGTATTTATTTTTGCTTTAACATTGTTTACCAGTTTGATTTTTTTAAAAAGGTTTTTTACATACCTGAGAATATATATATATATATGTAAGAAAACTGTTATATATTGTAATAGGGTAGCAAGACATAGAAGAGAAATAGTGGAGCCTGAAATTATACAGGAGAAGTCAGACTCAGAAGATGAGCGTCGCAGAAAGAGATTTGGAGAAGATGAAGAAAGCAGTGAAGAGGAGGAGGAATTAGATGAAGAAGTGCGTCTTTTTCTTCTTTTACAGAATTTTATATCATCACACATTAGAAACTGGGTCATTCAAATGCTTTATTTTTCTACAACAAAAGTCTTCAATACATTTTTAGGAAATAGAAAGGAGAAGACAACTCCTTCGTCTACGAATGCAACAGAGACAAGAAGAGGAGGTTTGTTTAGAATTTGATTAATTTTATGATAAAGCAGGAAAACTGTATGTAAGCCTTGGCAATGAGTCTCTGCACAAAGACAAACTACAAAGCATTGATGATATGTTTTTGTTAACTGATTGTGTTTGTAGGAGGTTTTAGAAGTTGAGGAGGAAAAAGTAGAGGGGGAGAGTGAGGAGGAATCTTCAGAATATGAGGAGTATTCTGACTCTGAGGAGGAGACAGGTCCCAGACTCAAACCTGTGTTTGTCAGAAAGTAAGTTCTTAACGAGGAGTTTCCTCTAGTGCTATCATTACCAAGACTCTGTGCCTCTCCAGAAATGATCAGAATTTGCTTTATTTTGAAAACAACTGCAATTTTATTGAATTGAACAGAAAAGACAGAATAACCATTCAAGAGAAGGAGAAAGAAGAAGCTAAGAAAAGAGAAATGGAGATGGAGGCTAAGAAAATAGCAGAGGAGAGGAGAGGACACACACTGAAGGTGAGAAACATTTACATTTTTCAAATTAAAATAGTCTAGAACAGACAAGGACACACAAAAGTTTAGTGATGTTTAGACAGTATGTAATGTAAAAGTATTTGTGGATCATTTTCACTTTGAAAAAGCTCACTGGATCGTGATTATGTAAGATTCAATAGTTACATAAACATCAGTGAATATTTATGGTTTTGGGATACATGCAGCATTGTATGGCAGTAATCTAGCAAAATAATGAAAATAAATTTCTGTACATCATTTTATTGTTTTGTTCTGTTGTTCAACACTAAGGAGGATGTTGTTCTATTTAGAAGGATGTTGTTCTATTAAGGAAGATGTTCTTCTTTCTGTAGATCATTCAGGAGGATATTGTTTTTTCTGTAGATCATAAAGGTGGATGTTGTTCTTTATGTAGATCATTAAGGTGGATGTTGTTCTTTGTGTAGATCATTAAGTTGGATGTTGTTCTGTTAAAAAGTTTGTTGTTAATTTCTTTAGATCATTAAGGTGGATGTTTTTTTTTTTTTGTAGATCATTAAGGTGGATGGTCCGTTTTTCTGTAGATCATTAAGGTGGATGGTCCTTTTTTCTGTAGATCATTAAGGTGGATGGTCCTTTTTTCTGTAGATCATTAAGGTGGATGATTTTTTTTCTGTAGATCATTAAGGAGGATGCTCGTAAGGAAGCTGAGGAGGAGAAAACTGTGGAGGATGCCTGTGATGCTCTGGACTCTGGAGATGAAAATGACGAGGAAGAGTACGAGGCCTGGAAAGTCCGAGAATTAAGGCGGCTAAAGAGAGACAAAGAAGAACGAGAAAAGTAATTGTCTTATTAATATCTGCGTTATGGAACATTTGAGCAGAAAAATAAGTAGATAAAATATATGTAAAAAAAAGTTAAAATATGCATACCCACTAACAAAATTTCTAATGATTAGAGCAACAAAATATAAAGGTTCAGAATCATTTCTTTAATTCCTAAGCTATTTCAAAAAAGTATTTCAAAATTTATTCTATTTTTTAAGCATTGAAAAAGAGAAAATGGAGATAGAGCGTGTCAGAAATATGACTGATGCAGAGAGACGACAAGAATTCTCCCAAAATCCAAAACTCGTCACAAACAAAGCTCCAAAGGGCAAATACAAGTTTCTACAGAAGTACTACCACAGAGGAGCCTTTTATGTGGTAAGTCCGGATTTTATGGTAGTCAATGAGAAATCTGTAGAAAGTCATCAGACCATAGATTCAGCCTTTTTCACACTTATGCCTCTAATTTTTGTGATTTAGGATAAAAAAATTTTTTTTAAAGAGATTGGAGAAAATTGTTTATTCTTAAGGATATGTGCATTTCATTCTTTATATCATTAAAGAGTATTCCATGCTTCGTTTGCTTACAGCGAACACTTTTATAATGAATTGACATTTATAGCAAAGTGCTTTTCATTCCCAGTGGCTTATAATTTTCAATTTTCTCACCTGACCTCAATTTTTGGTAATTTAGCATGAACTTCCATACCCGGATAAATATTTATGTAAGCATTGTAGTGTGGATGTGAAATTGTTTATGTTTAAAATTGCTATTACTTGGAAACTGTTATATAAAGTCAATTAGGATTTTTTCAAATGAACAAAATGTTTTATTCATACCTTCTATCCTTGTCTTGTTTTATTTACAGCAAGATTATGAAGACCAAGTCTACAAACAGGATTTCTCTGCTCCTACACTGGAGGATCACTTTGATAAGACAATTCTACCCAAAGTCATGCAGGTACATATACCTTATTTCTTGTTGCATTTTATCAAGTTTAATGATGCAAAGTTGCATTTTTATACCCCAAGCAACTAGTTGTGGGGGGTATAATGTTTTTGACCCTTCCGTCAGTCAGTCAGTCCTGTTTTTTTGTCAGTGCAACTCCTCATAAACCGCTGCACAGAATTTAGCGCAACTCCTCATAAACCACTACACAGAATTCATCAAACTTTGCAGATATTTAGGACACAATGTGTAGATGTGCATTTTACCAGGAAATTCCGATTCCTTTATTTTTTATGGGAATTTTGCCACTTTTCAACTTAGGTTTTTGGCCATATCTTGAATATAGAGATGAACAGTTTGTCAGCGCAACTCCTCTTAAACCACTGCACAGAATTTGGTCAAACTTTGCAGATATTTATTACACAGTGTGTATATGTGCATTTTACCAGGAAATTCTGATTCCTTTATTTTTTCTGGGAATTTTGCCACTTTTCAACTTATATTTTTGGCCATATCTTGAATATAGAGATTAACAGTTTGTCAGCGCAACTCCTCTTAAACCACTGCACAGAATTTGGTCAAACTTTGCAGCTATTTAGTGCACAGTGTGTAGATTTGCATATTACCAGGAAATTCTGATTCCATTATTTTTGCCCTAAGAGTTTTGCCTATGATTGAAGAAACTTTCCAGCTAGGTAATTAGGAAATCCACTGGAATCAGCTTTTGTAATGAAATTTTATGTGCAATATTTTATGACCTTAAGAGACCCCTATTGATTTTGAGATCAAAATATTAATGATTTAACACACACACACAAACACACAAAATTTTGGATAGCTCTCAAACCCCCCCCCCCCCCCCCCCCCCAAATTGGTGCTTTGCCTTAAATAATTTCATAAGTACAGTATATAAACAAATTCATATGACGACATCATAATTTTGTTTCCATCAATTATTTAAATGTGTAAATTGTCATATGTTGGACATGGACTTACACTCATTAACAAATCGAAATCACTGAGGAATTTAAATACATGTAACAGTTTGTCAGCATAACTCCTGCACTGAATTCCCTGAAACTTTGTAGGTATTTCAGACATAATGTATAGATTTGTATATTACCAAGAAATTTTGATTCCATTATTTATTTAGAAACTTCAGCCCAATTAAATTTGTAACATACAAAGATTTGAATGCCCTTATATGCAAGAAGTTTTAATTTGATGTGATAATTTTTTGCAAGTAATGCCCCTTTTTGAATTATACTGTGTATTTAAAATGCACTGTACCATTCATTACATGTTGCATTGTCGAGTTTTGGGGGAGCATGGGGTATGTGAGCTTGCTCACTTTTTCTTTCATATCAAGTTTAATGATGCAAAAATATGGCAGGTGTGGAGTGTTTTACATGAAATATGTTATAGTGGTTTTTTTTTTTTTTGCGGCATTTCAAAGGCATGATGCATGTAATATACCAGGGTACCTGATCTGTATATGTTAGATCCCTTTAAAAATCAGAAATTTTTTGCTCAGTGTGCATAATTTGTCCATTTATTGATGAACAATGATTAGTATAAAAACAGCAATTGTTATGAAAATTGAAGAAATTGAGGTTTAACACCTCAAAACATTTATTTTTTTTTTTTTTTAGATAATTATAGGTTTAATGTAAAGTGCTTTATAGATTTCTTTATGAATAATAAAATACGGTAATAAAGAAATTTTATCTTGTTGTGTCTTTTTTTTAGGTCAAGAACTTTGGGCGATCAGGAAGGACGAAGTATACCCACCTTGTGGACCAGGACACAACCCAGTTTGACTCTCCCTGGATAGCGGACACGGCACAAAATTTGAAGACTCACATGACAAAGGGAGGAGGAATGAAACAGGTCTTCCACAGACCCACAACCAAATCAAAACGAAAATGAAAGTGATCAAGTGTGACACTTTGCTAAAGTTAAAGAGGAAAGTGAAGCAAATGGAAATGTTGTGATGTTTATAAAAGACTGTACATATTGATGTGATTTTCCAACGTAGAGGAGATGCCTCACTTTTTACATTTCGTGGTTCCATGTGAATTTAAGAAGATAACAGTGAAAATGGCACAATTCAAATCAGTGTGAAATTGAAAAGAATGTTTCAATGCGAAGATCTGTTGGACCATAGAAATCATGTACATTACCTCGTAAAGAGTATTGGTATGTAAGTTCAACATGCCAGGTTTTAAAGTCATTGACATTGTAATTATCATCCAAAGTATGTCATTTTTCTTCATCAGATGATAAATTTTGATGTTTCCTTTTGTATATATTAATAACATGAAAATTCTGCTATTATTGAATAATAAATTAAATTCATGGAAACTAGAGTATATTTCCTGTTCTGCTAAAATTCAAATACTGCATGGACAAAAATCTTTATAGTTGCAGCCACTTCACTTGCCGGAAATCATTAGGTTTGCAATATATGGTCATTTGTGGTCAAAAATGTTACGTCTAAATGTGATGTAATAGAACGATCTTGTGAAATTTCGAAGAGCTGTTAGAAGATTTCTCAACTTTTTGAGAGAAAAAAACTCCGTAGAAGGTATTTTCTGTAACAAGGGGACAAGGCAGAAATCGACGTTATTCCTGAATGTAATGGCTGGTCAATGTATGAATACCTTTGGAATAATATTTATTTCTGTAACAATATTATTGGTGAGAAAAAAACTTTATTTTCATATATAACACGATATGTTTATCATCAGAACTATATTTGAAGTGTAAGCTGAAAGCTACTGAAGCCGGTTGAGGCCAGTTCAGAGAAAGACATATTTTTATTGCGTTTAAATGCAATAATTATTGCATTTAATTATTGCATTTAAATGCAAAAGATTGCGTTTAATCGCAATGTATATACTTTGCACTTTGCGTTTTAACGCAATAATTTTTGCATTTAAACACACTTAATATTGCAATTAAACGCAATACTTTTGCGATTAAATGCAATACTCTTGCGATTAAATGCAATACTTTTGCAATTTAATGCAATGATTTTTGCGTTTAAACCCAATAATCTTTGTGTTTAAGGGCAATCATTTGTATTGAACAAACCTTGCAGAATACAATGGACCCACACGCATACTGATATCTTTTATTTCTTTCTCTTTTTTATTTGTGTTGTCTAGCTTTATAGAATCAGATTCCTCCGAGCAAACGCTCTCTAAAAGGATAAATCACTAATGTGAATTTATAGAAGAGAAGAAAATGTGGGCTTGTAAAAACAAAGGTAACCTAAGAACGAGACAGGTCTTACACTTATTAGATCGCTATATTCATGGTCAGTTGCTTACAATCACGAATCACTTTTCCATTTTGTTATTTTTCTACTTTGAAACAATTTCTGCAAACAATTAGAATGGATCTTCTAAATAAAAGACTAAAGAAGAAAAAAATGGTCAAAAAACTATCCCCCACGTTGCGGTCACACAGTTTAACCCATGTACAAAGGGGTTCAGGAAACGACTGATGAAATGTTGGAATTACGTCCAACATGATGAAGTGTTGAATTACGTCCAACATGATGAAGTGTTTAGACTTAAATGTATATTCACAACCTTTCCTATGGTTACATTCAGTAAATACAAGAACATAGGTGATGGAATTATATGAAATCAAAATCAAATGAAAATAGACAGATCGATGTGTACTTCCAAATTGACAAGTTTTTATTAATACCACTGAAACGTTCTTAATTACTTTTAATACGTATGCAACTGGTCAAAGACTTTCATTAAGAGTGTTGGGTTCTAATACGTTTAAGACATTCTGTTCGTTTCATAGGATGGCATTGTTTTACTACAATTTCCGAAAAACTGGAAAATTTTGCAATAAGACACAAAACCTACAGCATCATCGTGTAAATGCAAAAAGAATCCTTAAAAGGAAGGATTATTGCGTTTAAACGCAAAAATATTATTGCGTTTAATCGTTTAAAAAACAATAAAAATATTTCTTTCTCTGAACTGGCCTCAACGGGCTTCCGTAGAAAGCGAATTAAAATTATAATTTTTTGATAGTAGCAATTTTTGATGTTGCGTCTAAGATATACAGCAGCTTATAATGCATCAGTAATGCAACCAAATATTGCAGCCAATGTCAACTTTTGACTTTTTGTTTGAAGTATTCTCATACTTGCTGTGCAAAGTAAATGCCGTTCTCTACAGAACTATGGGTGATAATTCTTTGTATTGTGGTAGTGGGGAGAAAGTCAAATTTTCTACTCTTTCTACCTTCTAGGAGTCATAGGAATCCACTACATTTATTGGTGGCAGAGAATTGATGTTTTTTAGTTCTCTGAATAATGAACATTCCATCGATATGACGATACTTTCATTATCGAGGATCTTGTAATTGACACATGTACAATGTACTATTCTCTGTTGAAATGAAGGACATTTGAAATTCTCCAATGATGAAACCTTGTTTTCAAACACTCCACTCAACTGATAGAAGACTTTTACACTGTCTGAAGTTCCAACTATTTTACCAACGAACATATCATTTTGAAAATAAAAATTCGAATAGAATCGAATCGACATTACAGACATTTGGTGATAACTTGAGAGAGGGTCCTAAAACATTCAAAAAGATTCTGTTTATGCCAGAATGAATTGTTTCAAGTTTTTCTTCCGCTTTTGAGATCAAAGTATGAAAGCCTCTGTACTATTGCCACAACATGACCACTTTTCATGATTTTATTAAGAACGTTTGATGGCAGCCATGCAGAATTTAAAAAAGAGAATCTTTCCATGACTTAGCAGTAATTGGTAAAAAGTCACTGCAATACATTAATTGTATCATAATTCCTACATGTAGCTCTATGAATTGACTAGGTCTACCGCTTAGGTCATGCACAATGGAACTTTGATGCACTGAGAAGCGAAGTGCTTTTTTTTTTTAACTTGAAACATTTACCGGACCACAGTCTGTACCTATAGTTGATTTAAAAACCAATGTTGATTGTCTGACCAGTCTGCAAGAAGTCTAACCTGTCATAAAGTGGAATCTGGGATAGATCCCAAATAACCAAGTGATGCTTCAGCCAGTGTTTGCTGTGTAGACTGGCCTTCTCTGAGACTTTTGTCAGTTTGTATACTTGACCTTCTCTAAGACTTTTGTCAGTTTGTATACTTGGCCTTCTCTGATACTTTTGTCAGTTTGTATACTTGGCCTTCTCTGAGACTTTTGTCAGTTTGTATACTTGACCTTCTCTAAGACTTTTGTCAGTTTGTGTACTCGGCCTTCTCTGAGATTTTTGTCAGTTTGTATACTTGGCCTTCTCTGAGACTTTTGTCAGTTTGTGTACATGGCCTTCTCTGAGACTTTTGTCAGTTTGTATACTTGGCCTTCTCTAAGAGTTTTGTCATTTTGTGAACTAGCTTAGCCTTCTCTGAGACTTTTGTCAGTTTGTGTACTAGCTTAGCCTTCTCTGAGACTTTTGTCAGTTTGTGTACTAGCTTAGCCTTCTCTGAGACTTTTGTCAGTTTGTGTACTTGGCCTTCTCTGAGACTTTTGTCAGTTTGTATACTTGGCCTTCTCTGAGACTTTTGTCAGTTTGTGTACATGGCCTTCTCTGAGACTTTTGTCAGTTTGTGTACTTGGCCTTCTCTGAGACTTTTGTCAGTTTGTGTACATGGCCTTCTCTAAGACTTTTGTCAGTTTGTGTACTAGCTTAGCCCTCTCTGAGACTTTTGTCAGTTTGTATACTTGACCTTCTCTGAGACTTTTGTCAGTTTGTATACTTGGCCTTCTCTGATACTTTTGTCAGTTTGTGTACTAGCTTAGCCTTCTCTGAGACTTTTGTCAGTTTGTATACTTGGCCTTCTCTGAAATTTTTGTCAGTTTGTGTACTAGCTTAGCCGTCTCTAAGACTTTTGTCAGTTTGTGTACTAGCTTAGCCTTCTCTGAGACTTTTGTCAGTTTGTGTACTTGGCCTTCTCTGATACTTTTGTCAGTTTGTGTACTAGCTTAGCCCTCTCTGAGACTTTTTTCAGTTTGTGTACTTGGCCTTCTCTGAGACTTTTGTCAGTTTGTGTACTAGCTTAGCCCTCTCTGAGACTTTTTTCAGTTTGTATACTTGGCCTTCTCTGATACTTTTGTCAGTTTTTGTTCTTGGCCTTCTCTGAGACTTTTTTCAGTTTGTGGCCTTCTCTGAGACTTTTGTCAGTTTGTATACTTGGCCTTCTCTGAGACTTTTGTCAGTTTGTATACTTGGCCTTCTCTAAGACTTTTGTCAGTTTGTGTACTTGGCCTTCTCTGAGACTTTTTTCAGTTTGTGTACTTGGCCTTCTCTGAGACTTTTGTCAGTTTGTATACTTAGCCTTCTCTAAGACTTTTGTCAGTTTGTGTACTTGGCCTTCTCTGAGACTTTTGTCAGTTTGTGTACTCGGCCTTCTCTGAGATTTTTGTCAGTTTGTATACTTGGCCTTCTCTGAGACTTTTGTCAGTTTGTATACTTGGCCTTCTCTAAGACTTTTGTCAGTTTGTATACTTGGCCTTCTCTGAGACTTTTGTCAGTTTGTGTACTCGGCCTTCTCTGAGATTTTTGTCAGTTTTTGTTCTTGGCCTTCTCTGAGACTTTTGTCAGTTTGTATACTTGGCCTTCTCTGAGACTTTTGTCAGTTTGTATACTTGGCCTTCTCTAAGACTTTTGTCAGTTTGTGTACTAGCTTAGCCTTCTCTGAGACTTTTGTCAGTTTGTGTACTTGGCCTTCTCTGAGACTTTTGTCAGTTTGTGTACATGGCCTTCTCTGAGACTTTTGTCAGTTTGTGTACATGGCCTTCTCTGAGACTTTTGTCAGTTTGTATACTTGGCCTTCTCTGAGACTTTTGTCAGTTTGTGTACATGGCCTTCTCTGAGACTTTTGTCAGTTTGTGTACTAGCTTAGC